ATTTAAATTCGACTAAGACTGCCAAGACGGGGATTCCTCCATTGATAGTAACATTTGACACATTTGACACATGTTACTATCAATGGAGGAATTTATTTATAGTTATAGTTATTTTATGTCTCGGTACTTGCTATAAATTATTGCGCATCGTCTAAAATTTTTCAGAAGTTAAAATACTAGTGCAGATCTTCAACTACCAATCTTTTTGCAACCTTGCATACAATGCTAGTCAAGAACCTGGCCTAAAGTTTTCAATTGAGTATGATTTTTTATAAATAAATAAATTATTATTTATTTAGGTAGAATTATTTATCCGTTTCATTGCTACACAATTATCCGTTACTTATTTATAAAAGCGATATTTTTATCGTCAAGGTAATGCTTAGCCTTAATTTGATTAACTTTTCCTCCCCTATCTCTCACAAATTATAGTACCATTTTTCTGGCTAACTGTTTCATTCTCTCTTTCGCTGTATAAACTTTTCTTTTTTTTCTTTTTTTTTTTGTTGTTCTTCCCTACCTCGCCTTTTAGGCTATACGAGATTTTCCCGGGCCGGGGAGTGAGGGCGGGGAATTTTTAAAATCCCCTCCGGCACCGGGACGCGAACTCGTACATAAAAAGTACTATAAAATATAAAAATATCATAAAATATAAAAATATCATAAAATATAAAAATATCATCTCAAATCTCTGTTATCCGGTTGCCAGGCAACTAGCGGTGCTGTTACACACGCTTTAGCCTATTCGGCCAACCCGCCCCCAAATAACCTTTCGCTGTATAAACTACTTTTGGTTTTGAATTCGCTTTCATTTTGTTCTACATCGTTAAACGAGTGACACATTTCTTTTTGTGTGGTCCTGTTAAGTACCCCTCCCCCCCTATCTAGTTGGCGCAATAATCCATATGAAAATTATAGTTTATTTACAATTACACTTTCTGTTATATGTTCCATGTTTTCTCTTGTTGCGGGTTCCTTCAAATTGGAACTCGTCAAATATATTGTTCCCCTTGAAAATTATTAAACACGTAAAAATCTTCCACCTCCTCAAATATTTTGATGGAGCAAATTGCGTAATGGAACTTCTCGGCATCCCTGATCCATGTCGAATAAAGAATATATCGGGAAATTTGCTATGTCTATTCTATGGAGGTGAATATGGCATCCTGTCATGTCAGATGTATAGTGAGAGTCTACTATACATCTTTTTGGTCTGTCAGCCAGAGATCCTGGAGGCACATTTTCTGCAACGTTGAAACGCAGCTTGGTGAACGGATGTCACATAGGAATCAGGTTTAAATAGAGGAAATTGGAATTAAATCGACTGTGAGGAGTGATCCTGCGGCTTTGAGCGAAAGTTGAGCCGCAGTTTTTCTTACCTGCGGACCCCTGTGTTGTTAATTTAACATTTTCAAATGGGTGGGATTACAGATTTTTTATCGATTCATTCTGATGTGAAAGACGGGATTGTTAACTCATTGCTATGTAAAAAAAAATCAAGAAGTAGTTACTTGAATAAACGAAAGACGCATGAATAATTCGTCCTAAGATAAAAAAAATTTATTGAGTAACCAAAAAACCATTGCATGAACTTATTTATAAATCTATAACTACTAAAGAATGTAATCCGTACAGCTCTATTGAATGTGAAGAAACTTTTGTTATATTTTTAAGTTGAGAAGTTTATTCATTTACTGCACGGGCGGATCTACGGAGGGGGGGGCGGGGCTTTCGGGCTGAAGCCTCCCTCCCCAAAATGGTAAAATATATCCATGTTTTATCGAAAAAAATATTTAAAAAGTATCTCTTAAAATATTATTGTTCGTGTAATTACATTTAAAAGGGCTTTAGGAATCACTTAAACACAATTTCATACTGGTAGTTAGTTTCTTTCTTTTTTTCCAAAGTAATTATCGTCATTTTTATGAAAAAAACAACTTTCGGGCTGAAGCCCCCCCCCCAAAATTAAATCCTGGATCCGCTAGTGATTTACTGTAAATAACCTTTTAAATATCTAGAAAGTAATAGTGTTTTTTTGTGCAAGAATAAATCATTAACATATAAACTTAGTAGTTTTCAGTTCGATTTCTTTGTTAACTTTTTTCCAAAATCTGCGATTTCAATTTTACTTTTAAATAGTCACCATGTAAAGTGTAGTACAACATTTTTTCTCCTTCTAATTACTTCAATTAATTTTCCTCTTAATAGTGTAAATGTGATCTTAGCTCCCGATAACCATTCTCCAAGTGACAGAATATTATATTATTCAACAAATAAATACTAACTTTTTCCTATAAAGTGATCCAAAGGTGTTTTTGCTCGCTTTTGCGATCAAATTACCTTACGATTCAAGTCGAAAATGGCTATTCATGAGTTTTTATTACCTCATAAAAATGAAAAAGTTTTCCAATCTACAGATTTTCTAGATTTTTTGTAAATAAAAAATTCGTTGGTTATGATATAATGAAGTCGCTCACGAAGTTTTATAGGAGTGTTACTAATTTGATAAAAAGGATCTCTGTCGCGGGTTATCGAACTTTAAATATATTACAACTTGAAGTGTGCGTGGTTTGTACACTGTCTGACTCTGTAATTTGTTACCATTGTTCATCTTCTAATAAATAAATATATATATATATATATATATATATATATATATATAATATATATATATATATATATATATATATATATATATATATATTATTGGTGATTTGATAAGAGTCGTTATTTATGTGTCTTACTCTAATGAATTCAGATCGAAATTAGAAATTCCTGACCCGTCGAAAATTGATTTTTGGATGCTTATTGACTTTTGGACTATAATGCGACGAATACCGTCTTGCGGCGCCATGTTGTAGAGCAGTTATTATATTGGCGTTACCAGCTGGGTATCGATAGCCGATGGATAAAGTTGCCCCTGAGGAGAATTAATGAAATGCAAACTGTGGCCCTTTCAATAAAAGCTCTTTCTTATCGTAACCTCTTTTACCGCATGACGGCCTTTCAGCTCCCCGCATAAATTTAATGTCTATTATCGCCTATCAGCCACCTCTTAAGCAGTTTTAACCTCAATCAGATTTTCATGAAAACTCTTTTGACAAGCATTGAAAAAGTTTTCAATACTGGCTTCGACATTTTTAAGTGTTTCTAAAAGTATTAAAAAGGTTTAATTCAGTCTCCCTACCTCTCGAAGACATTGAGAACAAAAACTATCAATCGTTTATTTGAAAATTAATACAAATGCTAAAGCTTAATCGATCACAAAATAAGATAAATATCACCCATTCTGTGGCAATTCTTCTAATTGCATGTGGATTGGAGAGCTGCACTGTCCTTAACAAGTATATTAGCAGAATTACAAATATAATATATAAGACTGTACGCGACTGGTTCGCAATAAATTAAGACAATGCCTGGGAATAGGGCTATTTTGACCTTGTAGATTGTAGATATCAGAGGGCCTCGATATAGATAGCATGTTTTCTGTTGATGGTAGATGGGAATGGGCAGCAAAGATTATTGCTAGGATGAGAAAAAACAGAATTAGATATGAGTGAATTGAAAGGAACAAATCTTCAAACATCCAAGACATGAAGAGAACAAGCTTACAGACTTATTCAAAGACAATAGCTTACAGAATTTAATTTGTAAGTCTTTTTTTTTTAATAAACCGCTTACTGCTTTGAAAGAAAAATAAAAAATTACCTAAATTAAATCTCAATTATTTGGTACTTTAAGACCTGTACAAACAAAAATTCTAGTAATAAAACTGTATTAACGAGAACAGCAATGCTTTTAGAGATACATTTTTTTCTTGACACATCCTTAAATTTACTAGCAGTATATACATTATCATTTAAAAAGAGAGCACTCGGTGATTGGAGTATTAACTTAGATCAATCACAGAAATAAATATGGAACAATAAAAAATAAAATTTATATTTTGTAGGGACCTTCTGCCCCCTCTGTAGATCAGCCAGAGGTCAAGAATAAGTTATTGAGTAAGCAGAGTGAACCAGACCACAGACTTGGTGGAAACAAACTGAGTCCAACCATCGCTCACACCTTGCAGAATCAAAAAATAGGACTTTGAAAGAATGCCACAAATAACTTAAATCTTTATGAAATATCAGACACATCAAGGGAAGCTAGATAATACCAAGTCACAACACTAGTTAATATAGCTATTTATTCATGGTGCTTACTATCGTTTATCAAAGCATAGAAATCATGGCATCTGACCATTTCACTAAAGGTGGAAATTTACAAGTGTAGGTGGACCATGAATAGCATCTGCATCAACGCTTGAATGTATAGTTACCATTTTTCATATGCCACTGGTATGGTTCAAAATATTTGTGTATTGGTGAAACTACTGACCAAAGTTTGTGTTAGCTGTATCCTGAGCTGATTTCTCACACATCAAAAAGATTCGCCACTGATGACGATTCAATTTCCCAACAAATGCCACTATTTTACCTAAATTATTGCTAAGTTATTAACTTATTACTTGGTAACTTTAGATTGTCAATTAATTATTAATTGTTTGTAATTAGTAAATTTTTAAAAAGTGAAGACTGCAACAGCTAGTATATCTTTGGAATCCACTAACTAGAATGTAACTAACTTTTTCTTTATGTTAACAGGAAATTACTTAATAACTAAAAATTCCTCCTTTTGAGGGATATGTAATTTGACCACCTCAGAATGAGAACTTAAAAGTTATCAACTTTTTCACAGTGTGCAGAGAGCTTGGAGCATGACCAGAATAGATATAACTCATAATGACCACTTATCAACATGACAAGTTATTTCCTATGACCATCAATATTTTCACAATTAATTGCAAAACAATTTTTGTATGGTCGCCAAATTTGTTTATTGTTACTTTCACATTTATTCACTGATATTTAACAAATAGATTAATACTAGTGTAAACTAGCTTAAGGTGTGTGAACTGTTTACTGCCCAACCTCCTATAAGCCAACAATAACTTGTTTTTTCTAGTGGGGCTGAACTGTACCGTGGAGGACTGTGAAGAAAAGGCTGCCTGTCCCCCAGACTCCGAGCTGAAGAGTGGTGGCTGGGGATGTGTTTGTGTTCCTGAACGCTGCCCTCAGACACCGACTTGCCACTTTAGGAGTAAGCGCTTTCTCAAATATGCAGCTGGTGGAGTTCCTGGTGACTGCTGCGATGTATATGACTGTGTCTTTCCTTCAGGTACAATTATTAATATTTGTACATTATTGATACTAATTAAAAAACTATACTTTTAACATGTTATAAAGCTCCATAGGTCACTTATTAACAATATAAATGAAAGAAGCTCATTTCAGTCCTGAAATTATAATGGTTTTAGATTCTGAAAAGGGATTGAAGAAACATATTTCTTTTTGCCTTTTAGCAGAAAAGATAAAAACTTTATTTAAAAACTTATAGAACTAAAGAAATTGCTCGATGTTCTATTAATATACATTTTGTTTCACTTACTTATCTTGAATTTTGAAAATAAAATAAAACAAAAATAATGTCACCATATGGTGATGTTCACAACTTGTGTCCTAGAGTTAAGGGAGGAGTCGGTTAAGGCCCTCGGGCTAGGTACGACTCCTTCTGTTCCCGACCTCTGAGTGACAGCATATACACAATGTCCGTCTGAAAACTACAGGTTACCGAAGACCATAGGCGGATCTACGGGGGGGGCTTTCGGGCTGAAGCCCCCCCCCCCCCAAAATGGAAAAATATAACCATGTTTTATGTGAAAAAAATTTAAAAAATACCTCTTAAAGTATTATTGTTCGTGTAATTACATTTAAAAGTACTTAAGGAATAACTTAAACACCATTTCATATAGGTAGTTAGTTTATTTCTGTTTTTCCAAAGTAATTATCGTTATTTTTATGGAAAAAAAAAAGGTTTCGGGCTGAAGCCCCCCCCCAAAAATAAATCCTGGATCCGCTAGTGCCGAAGACTATATTAATTGATAGAAGTTTTTAATGATGTTATTAGCCTGATGCCTAATATCTCTGGAAACAATACATAGATACTTAGTTTAATGCAGGGGTGCCGATCCCTTCCCCTCCTAAGGCTGATGGTACATAAATCTCCCCTCATCCCTCCCAAGATATTTTATTCCTCTCTTCTTCTTAAAAACAGTGCAAATGAAAGTAGAATTTGAATATTCGTAGATTATATACCATTATACATCCTGTGGTCCATTCCATTTTTCCACTTTTCTTTTGATTTGAAACTTTTTATTTTGAAAATTCATATCCTCATCAAAACTTTTCCCCCTCAAAAATTTAAAACCCTGTCAAAAAGTGCCCCCCTCATTTACTATGATGGACTAACTTGCGCCATAAAACCCCCTCTGGGTTAATGAGAGACTAAGAGAGTATAGATGCTCTGAATATCGACCAAAACAGTAAAATTTTCTTACTTTTTCAAACTCTCTAATTTCCTACTGATAAATTCCTTTCCACATACTTTCTTCTGTCAATATTAGGTATACTCATTTTATATTCTATTCATTGCAGAGGTAAACTGCACAGGAGTGGTTTGTCAAGAAACAGAAATCGACTGTCCGACAGACAGCTACAGGTTACCGAAGAGCCAAGGAGAGGGCGAGTGCTGCAGCAAGCCTTTGGGATGTGCCTGCCTGCCTGCCCCTTGCCCGCCTCCCCTCTGCCCCCAAGGCCAGCACCACATCGTCATCAGGCCCGGCAATGGCAAGCCTGGCTCTTGCTGTCCTTTCTACCAGTGCCAGTCCCATGGTAATTTTATCATTACTTATCTTCAAAATCTTATTTTATAAGTAATATAGCTCTATTGGTCACACAATGAAAAAGATTTCTATTAAATCCAATATTATTAAACTCTATATTAAAGTTAATATTTTAATAAAAGCTCCTTATAGTGTTTTTTATTCATTTATATTAAATTTATTGAGATGATTTTAAAACAGGAAAAACAATGTGCCCAAAACTAGTTACGTTTGTTTTGATTGAATTGAACCCATATTGCTCGGTGACTAACTTATATATAATGTACGGTTTATAAAACTACGTTTTAATTTTATAGACTTTGTATGTATTATTTGGAGAGGGAAGGCAAGTTATCTATCTATTCTGTTCTATGCTAAAATATTATTTGGTTCTTTAATTTATCTTCTATGAAAAAAGAAAACATCATCAAACTAACCTCTGCTATTGTCAATTCTAGGGTTTGAAATCGATAATTAAAAAAATAATGATAAAATCCGATCAAAATTTTTACCTGAAATTTTTAAAAATCATTTGATGCTTTTTATTAACATCAATTTTTATTTTTGATCATAAGTGATAAAAATCTTATCCTGATCATTATTTTTCAATACAATTTTTACAATTGACAATAATAATAATTTTAGAATAATATTTTTTTAAATCAGAAATTACATTTTTTGTGTAATCTCTATGATATATTTTGGGTCCGCAGTAGTAGATGGAAAATATTGCAGTCAACTATTAGAAACAGAACATCTTTATTATCTTAAAATTCATTAGAAATTTTGACTTACAAAATGATATATATTTTTTATATGTATATATAAATTGTCTCACTACGTGGGGCTGGAAGAATTTAGTTTTAAAATAACAGTTTTAATTACAGGTACTTTGTGCACAATTAAAGCGATTTCAGAAATATAATATTAAAAAATGTGTACATTAATAATGAATACATACATATTAACTTATTAATATCTGATTAAAAGGGGATTTTTATTTTCTGTTCAACATTTTTTTTTATCACAATTTAATCATTATTATGTATATAAAGCCATATTACTTAGTAAGGGATCATTATTTTTAATCAAATCAATAAACATCACAATCGATTTAAATTTTTATTTATAAATCAGGTATGATTTTTAAATTATATTCATTACATTAAATTAATTATCACATGATTTTGTGGAAAAAATAATTATCTATTTTAAACCCTAGTCAATACATTTATTTTGATTAATAAAGTGTAATTTGATCTTTTAAAATTAATTCCTTAAGTAAGGTATATCAACAAGCTTAAATGAGATTTTCAATTATTTTTATTTAAGATAGCTGAAACTATAATTAATCTTAAGATATTTTTCTGAATAAATTTAGCTAAATAAAGACTGATAAAAACTATGCCAAAAAAACTTTTTTTTTATAAATATGTTTAATAATGATATGGTATTTTTTCTTGAAAAATACATTTGTATCCTAAATTAGATTCATTGCTATAATAGGCCTTTAAAATGGTTAATTATTAATAATGATTATTGAATATTTTAACTTTTTTTTTAGAAAATAAAACATGCATGCACAATGGTAAGGAAGTTGCAACTGGTTCAAAATGGAAGAAAACAGAATGTGTTGAGTGCACATGTATTGATGGACAGGTACACTGTTCACAATCTGTTACTTGTCCAGTGTTGCCAATAGATTGTCCAGTCACTAGGATTCCACCTAATCAGTGCTGTCCAGTCTGTGTCTTCAACCATAACATCTTGGGTAAATAATTATCTATAGTTGAATATGTGTTTTTTATTGTTTTTTTACTATCAATAGCTAAAATGTGATATTGAAGTCAATCTCCAACTTTGAGTAGTGAGTTTGAGCAATGCCTTTTTTTAAAATTAACTTAATTTTTTAACTTTTGGAATTTGAGGTGCATCTAGATGTCATTTATTAGGGTGATAATCATTATTAAAGTAATCCTTTATCAATTGTATCCGTAAACTTTAAAAATTAAGCACTTCTTGGGATTATAAAGATAACTTAAGCACATTTAGTGGCTTCTTGCTAACAGTTTTACATTAATTTTGAATACATACACTGATCTTAACATGCTTCATACATTTTTTTAGCCAACGGTTTTTGGTTGTGAATTAATTTATTACATATTGATAGAAACTTACTTCTTATTCTTACTTTAACGGAAGAAGGTTTTTCACAAAGGCACATTGCACAGAGCTCTAGCAGTCACAATCCGTGATTTTCAGAGCAATTGTTAGGTACAAGAGACTGTAGGGCATATCAGAAAAAGGGGACAAATTCGTTCAAGCTCAACATCCTGGTATGACTACAGAGTTTTACAAATTCATGCTCTTCGAAATTGCCATTCTAAGTGAACAGTCTGTTTTTTCTCTTACAGCGGTTCAGGAGTGTACAAATTTCAGAGCAAACAGTGAAAAGACGACTTAACGAGTATGGATTGATGTTCCATTCTGGACCTCGGAAAGACTGGAGTCTTGTATTATTCACTGACGAGTCCATATTGATCCTAAGGTCTCCAGAAGGAAGCGAATGTGGAGAGATGGATTGTTGGATGGCAGGGAGAGAGGTACACTCCTTGTAATGTTTCTCTGAGGGTTACTTTTGTAGGAAGCTTAGTGATGTTTGGAGAGGCATAAATTTAAACTCCACTACATAATTGGTTCGTGTGGGCTACTTAACGGTTTTGAGGTTCAATAGGGAGATCCTAGAAACTCATGTGATACCTTTTGCCATAAATATAGAGGTCAAATTCATTTTAATGCATGATAATGCCCGACATCATGTTGCTCGGCTGGTGCAAAATTGTCTCTAACAAGAAGAGATCGAGGTTATGGCTTGACCACTAAGAGATCCAGACATATGACCAATAGAGCAAGTATGGGAGATGTATCTGCAGTAGAGATCCTCAAAATTTGGCAGATTTAAAAAGATTTGTTGTGGAAGGTTAGAACAACCTACCGGAAAAAGATGTAAGAAACTTGGTCGATAGAATGAACAGGAGAATGCCGGCAGTGATCAGGGCTAGAGGGGGAAACAATTCCTGCTGATTTTATTCAATAATCTGTATTCTTTTTTTAAATAAAAATAAAAAAATGCATTATTTTCTTTTTTTCTTGGTTTCTTCTTTTAATAAAGTATTCTTTCATATTCAAAAATAATCACAACTTTAATATTTTAGGACGAGAATAGTTTTTGATACAGGTCATAATGACAGTTTTTATCCTGGCATTAGTTAAAATTGAACTGAGAAACATTGTTAAAGTTTTCTTGTAACCTTAATAAGTAAACAAAAACATTCAATGGAATCAACATTTCTACATGAGAATAAAAAAAAATAGGTGATGCAATTTCTATGACCGCAACTGTATTTTATGATTCATATCACTACTTTGGTGCAAAAGATTGTATGTTAAAATTGAGTTTTTTTACTGAAGAACATAAAAACCGACTATTACTTTATGATTTAATAGCATAATTGTATTTTATTTTCCTATTTAGCAGACTACTTATAGCAGTTGTAGACTACAAAATGTCACCTTTAGCACAAAGAGAATAAACATGCACTAACATAAGCGATATGAGAAATACTTTGTATTCTCTAGGCAATTGTGTTTATGTTATTAATTGATCTATACTTTTAAAATGAGTCAGGGACCAGCCAGTCTTATTTTATAATTTCTTATAGCAAATATTGACAAATCTAATGGTTTATATGTTTTTTGGATGAAAAAAAATCTTAGCTAGAAAAATTTATAATGATATGTTCTACTTTGAACCATCTTCATTGTATTATTGAAGTCGGTGATGGTTATTCGTTTTATGCACCTATTCTGAATTAAATACTTTGCAGTGTATTTATAATAATTTTATTATTTTTTAGACATAGCTCCTAGAATTGTAAAACCAGATGGGTGTAAATCAGCAAAGGGTATCATTTACCAAAATGGAGCTTCTTGGCAAGAAGACGATTGTACTCATTGTACATGTGCTGATGGTGAACGCAAATGTCAAGCAGAAATGTGCCTACAGACTTGTGCAAATGCAACTTATGTTCCAGGCGAATGCTGTCCTCGATGCAATGGTAACTATTTTTAAAAACAATAGATCTTACAAGACCTACTTCCTTTTTTGGTGTATAGAACACTTCTTCTAGGAGATAACATTTATTTTGTTGGTTGATAAATCTATTTTATAATAGGTATCTTTAGATACGCTCAAGGAAAAGATGCAAAAATGTTTTCTTTTCATAATGATTAATTAAAATCCTTACCTTCCTTTGATTAATTTGGAACCAATTTCAGTTACAGATGTTACGGTTATTGCAAAGAGTTGTCCTCCATTCCATTGTCCATTGATGTGTAAACATGGTTATGTTAAAGATGAATCTGAGTGCCACACCTGCAAATGCATAGGTAAGTTATTTTTAAGAGGCTTTATTCAATTACTATTTATTATAGTTTGTGAACTTCTTCTTGCTGTTTTTTTTTATTATTTCGAAATGTTTAGCAGTGCACATTGTGTGTCCTTCTAAATTCTCCAGTAAATTTATTTTTTAAGACCAAATATTGAGTGAACACTTCATTCGCTGATTTACTTAAAGCAAATTATATTTTTATAGTTATTTAACAAGCTATGTAGAACTATATTTTTTTTAGATTAATTAATTTTGTTAGATTGTTAGTTTTCTTTTACTTTTAAGCAAGTGAAAAGTTTTTTTATCTACTTAAGAATCTATTTTCTTTTTAATGGCCATATTCTTTTAATATATAATTAAATGGTTTAAGTTTGAGTTGAAGCTTTTTGATCTATGTTTATTTTATTTTTGTTATATGTGTAACGCTTAACATTTTAACCTTATTGATTCTGCTATAATGTTACTAACAATTACCTTTTTTTTTCATTTTTAATTTCAACTATTGATTGAGTCTATATTAATTTATTAAATATTATCCTCATGTATTCTTTCTTATAGATATATTGTCTATGTTTCTAGTTCTACCTCTTAATCAAACTGGTCATATTCTAATATATTGTGGCAAATATCCAATAATTGTCAATACTCATGATTAAACATTGTTCAATACTGGGATAAATGTTATTTAATTTTATAATTTATAACATTTGAATTCCAGAAGGAGAGGAATGCCATTTGGAATGTAAATCAGGATTCTTGAAAGACAGTAGTGGAATGAATATCTGTGAATGTGCCAATGAATGTCCACCTCTTGCAGACTGTAACAAGAAATGTAAACATGGTTACAAAACTAATAAGGCTGGTTGTGAAATTTGTAAATGTGAACATTGTAAAACATTGACTCATTGTGCAAAGAAGTGTCCTCATGGATATCAAATCAACCAGAAGGGTTGTCAGATCTGCAAGTGTAAAGGTCAGTACCTTTATATCTGACAATAAAAAAATATAATTAAAAAAATCAAGATAATGATATTTGTAAGTTAAGAAATTAAAATTGGTTATTAACATTCCATGATGTGATATGTACTCATGTGAAGATAAATAAACAAGGCTTGGCAATTCAGCAAAAGAGGGTTGTTTATTTACTCATTTTACAGAATTCCATCAGTATTGGTTAAATATAAATTGAATTAAATGTCATAATCCCATGTTACTTTGGTTTATAACTCGCAGATGTCTTCATCGGTTCAGCATTCAATAATTAATTATTGATTTTTTATCTGGTGTAATAACTTAACTTGGCCAATTTAATTAAGTTTAAATATATCAATTATCATTATTGCTGAAACATTCTACCATTCCATGTTATATTGTTTGATTGTTCTCCATCAGACTAATCTTTCTTGAAATAGAATATTTTACAAAACTCTTTATCTCAAAACTCAAATATGCTATTATTTGCTTAAATAAAGTGACCACTTTTCTCTTCCATAAAAAAAAATAATAAGGAATAAAATAGTTTTTAAGTCCTTAATTTCCAATTTTCAGACAGTAGTGCATGACAAATCAATCAGAAAAGTTTATTTCAATTCTAACTTTTAACTGTAATTTTATTTTATTTTAGTACACCATATACCTACATTTTTCTAATATTGCACTTAAACCGTCTGTGATTCTATTATTACTAACCACATATTTTCTTGTATTTCAAGTTGTAATTCTTTACCAGCATCCGATTGCATTATTGTTTTTAATTTAATATTTTTTGCATCTTCATCTAACAATACTAAATCATTAACTGAGCATGAGTATTTTATCATCCACATTTTTTAAAAAATGATTGACTAATTAAAAATCTAAAAATGAATATAGTTTCTTTATTATTTTTGTTATTATTACTTTTAACAGAGCATGAACCAGTGAACAGAACTTCTGAAGATGGCAGTATTACTGAAAAGGATTGTGTAACAGGTAATATATTTTTGAAATTTTCATCCCACCACTTTTTTGGAATAAAATAAAAAATTACCAAGTGTATAAGAATAATTAATTTTAGCCTATTAATTAAGTAACTGAATTCAAATATTACTTAATATAAAATAACTTAAGAAATAAATTTAATTTTGGAGAGATGAGGTCATTGATCGGGAATGCCGAGAGTATAAGACCAGCACTGATCTAGATAGTAAGAAAAGTGATATTTCTAACCAAATATTAAATGTTATTTTATTTCCATTTATTTTTAAACAGAAAAAAAATAATATTAAAAGTTAAAATATTAAGACTTATTGAAGGAAATACTAAATGTTAACTATAAAATGTTAATATTCATCTATCTTTAATATCAAATATTTCTTGTGTGAAAAATGCTTAACAGAAACAGTTTTCACTTTAAAAACACAAATAGTTAAGCATGATTTGTTATAAAGGGGATGCAGTTAATAATATAAATTTCTACCTGCTACAATAGAAAATCCCGTATTACGTCACATTGAAGTTCTCTTTGTCATAATTATTCAAAAATGTCCTCCCTCAGTGGATGGACTTAGCATTCCAGAATAAAATTAATCAATGAATATATTTTTTTTAAATGTATGCTATATTGGATTTGTGTTTTAATAATTACAGACCAAGGAATAAGACGAGATAATGGAGAATCATGGTTTGAAAACTGTCGACAATGTTATTGTTTTGAAGGAAAAGAGATGTGCTCATTAGTCTCTTGCCCTAGAGTAGACTGCCCTGATCCTATATTTTCCAAGAATACTTGTTGTCCTATTTGTCCAGGTATACCTACGTTAATGATGGAGAAAATAATTTGGAATATTTGTTTATGTTCTAACCTTGATTAACTATTATCCTTCTGATTAAGCAGGTAATGAAACAATGATTGAATCAGGAGTAGTGTGTTATGGGCCAGGAGGAATCAAGCATGAAATAGACACTTGGAAACAAGGCTGCTTAGAATGCTTGTGCCACAATGGCAGCGTCCTTTGTTATAGTGAACCTTGCCCCCCAGTACTCTGCCAGCACCCACTGGAAGGGGATTGTTGCCCAGTCTGCCCAGAGGAGGCAGTGCAGCCTCTGCCGGCTCTTGATGCCACTCAACGGTAATTCATTTTATTATTTATTAAATTATTATTATTATTATTAACTGTATATTATACCTTATTGGAACTTGAAATAAAATACTGAGTTATTTGAAGGATAGTGTACTAATAAATTAAAAAATTACACAATGCAGAACCTCAAGGCTTGTTTTAATTAATCTTGTTCATTTTCTTTTATTTTATATTGTTGAAACTAATGATAAGGATACTTTCTTAGTTGTGGAGATAAAGAATCTGGAGCTAAATGGAGACAAAGTGAATGCACCTCATGTATATGTATAAATGGAGAGGCATCTTGTTATACTCAAAGCTGCAATCAGATCTATCCATCTTGTATTACATCTGTCTTACTCAAGAAACAATGTTGTCCAGTTTGTTTCGGTAAGTGTTTAAGTTTATATGAAATAATTATTTCATCATTGAAATGTTTTTTTTTTTAATTTAATTTCTTTTATTTATTAATAACATTTCTTATTATAACGACATGATGCATACAAAAATAAAAATTATTCTAAAAGGTATAATTTCAGAAGATAATTATTTAAACATGAATTAATTGCCACTAGTTCTCTAAATCCATTTAATACAACAGTCAAACTCACCAACTTTCATAGCATACTACATAATAAATGAAATTCTTTCCTTCTAACTGTTATTTCCTTTTAAGATAAAATATTTTTTTTATTATTAAATTAAGTTTTAAAATATTACAAAAATTCTTTAGGTGTTTTTATTTACAAATTAAATCTGGTTATTAAATTTCATAATTTTTAAGTCCTATTATGTACAACTCAATTCATTTAAATTATGACAATTTTTTTTATATACAGATCATATGTCAGATGAATCAGTTTGTCAAGTTGGAAATATGACGTTCAATCTAGGCGATGAATGGGAACCTGAAAAATGTAGAAGATGTTCTTGTGGGCCTTATAACACCATATCTTGTACTGAAACAATTTGTGAGAGACCCTGTACCAAGAATGACAACCCTTGTTGCCCCAAGTGTACAGGTAAATTTGTTTTTCAATACAACTCACTAAAACTGTACACATTTTTTTTTTTTTAAAAAGCTAAAAGAAATCTATTATTGCTTCAGAAAATTTAAAGCTTTTAGTAATGTACAGTGATTTTATTTGGAGGACTAATACATTGGAAACATTTATGTGACATAACCCCTCAGTTTTATTAAAGATATTTGTCCATTCAAATACAAAATCTATGTAATCAAAGTTTGTAAACATTTAGATAAAAATACAATTTCAAAATCTTAGTCAAGAAGGACTAATCAAAATGCATGGCACTAAGTATTATACTGAATGCTTGAATGAAACAGCTATGTCATTAAATTTATAAGTTAATTTTTATTTGTTTATAACCATTTTCTGTATCTTATTGTTTCTATCTCTTCTGAAACCCTAACAGGAACAATGGATGTATAGGCAAACAACATAAAAGTGAACCTTTTAGTTTGTATACAGCTAACAATAACCTTTTGTTTTAAAATAAACAAGGAGTACTTAAGTGGTTAAGGCTCTGTACTTCTATTATTCCAGTTCCATGTTTGAGTCCAGCTGTGTATTCTGTTACATCAGCTGTGGATCAACCTTGGGGTTGGGATACCCTCCTGAGGGGCACAATCAGCCTCTATAATACAGTGAGTACTCTTAATTAATCTAGGAGAAAAACCTAGATCGTGATCTCAGTCATAATACCTGCATCTTTGTACAACCATTGATTTATAAACAATTTTTCCTTACAAAGTACTGAAATCAAGACCCTTTATGGGTTGTAATGGTACAGCTTCGAAATTACAATCAACTTATGAGTTAGATCACATGATTAAAATAATGTAAACAAATTCAAAATGATAAAAGAAAAAGAAATTCAAGATGGTAGCTGTCTGAAGTTAAGTAGAGGAATTGCATAATCTACTAACAAGGTTCTCTCTTAAGTTGTTTGTCTTTACAGTCCTTACTAAAACAAAAATAAATGCAATCCAAAAATGTGTTTAATCAAAAGTTATTCATGAAAAAACTATAAAAAAATGTATATCATTTTAAAATAAATTATCAATTATTGTTTAGTCATCACAATCAGTCAGTGTTATTTAATTAATTATTTTTTTGTATTTTAGAAGTTGAAGGAGGTTACGGGTGGTTTCATGGACCAATTTACCTGATAATAATATGCGTTCTTATGTTTGGTGTTGGTGCTGGAAGCGTTGTCCTTTGGAAACATTGCATGCTAAAAAGGCACCAACTAAAGATCTGCCAGGCAACTACACCTTCATATCCTTATAAGTATGTTCCGACTTATGACCAACCTGCCCCGAGCCCACACAGATCACCAGTTTGAACACTGCTGTGTGGACTCGAGAGGTTTGTACAGATCATCTGCTCTTCCCCTTCAAATCGTGGGACAAACTACATCACATCATATTTCCCTTCGTATCATTACGATTTGTGGAGGAACGTGTCTTGAAAAGTGCCATGTATTTATATAAATATCAGTCGACTTTCTTGAATGGACATTCAAGTTAATGCAGTCAAGATGGATATAACTGATAAAAGACACTTATCTATCTTGGTATGTGTTCATGTTAAACATTGATGAAAATTACATAAACTAGCTGTTTGAAGATTTAGAGATTTAGCTTAAACATTCTTTAAAAATCAAACAGTTATTTATATGTAAGTACCAAATGGGCAAGTAAGTTTTTACTTGATTTCATATCTGTCTTTTTTTTTTTTAATATATACAAGATAAATGATATATATATGTATATGGCTTCGAATCCATTACAATAAAAGCCTTGTGATATGAAAAGAAAATATAATATCACTTATTTTATAACATTAATTTATTATATGACTTATTATATTTTGTAATTAGTGAATTATATATATAAAGTGTAGAATTTATATATGTATATTGCAGATCTAAACGTCAAACATTAGTACTACTACCCCTTTTTGAACAGGAGTCAGTGTTGAAATTTCTAGGCAGTGTGTTTATTATTGTTAATGCATTTATCCTGGTAAAGCAGCTTGTGTAGATATTTATTAGGTTTAGAACTCAGCATTGTGAGCAGTTTATTCATGTTCCTCATTTCATAAGTTATTTCATTTGTGAAATTGTGTTTATGATCTCATTATTTCTTACTTAGGCCTATGACAAACCTTGAAACGATTTTATTTTTCTTTCTGCAAGCGTAAATGAATAGTAGGCTTATTATTATTGTATTATTATTTATATGTGACTGACTTTGAATAATTTAATCAAAAAAATAGTTATAGTTCTCTTATTATTTTTTTTTAACTATTAATGTTTTTTGTAATAAAATAGAACCGAATATTTTGTAGATTTATTTTTTATAATATTTAAATACTTAAATAGTTAAGTTGTACTAAAGAAAACCTCATGTACATTTCCAAGATTTGTATAATTACAGGAACTGAATAATGACAATACAGGTCTAATTATTTATTTACATTCAGTTCCAATTTTAAAAATATAATATCCACCATATATTTTGAGAGTATATATGCTGTGCAAGACTATATTGACTTATTATTCGCTTTTGAATGTTTTTATAATTTCTTTGGATGAAAAATCAAGTACTTGTTAACTATTCTTAGTAACGAATAGAGAGATTATACTGTGGCATATTGGCAAATATTCTAACTGTTATTCCTAAATTGTTAACAAAATAACCAAATCTATTATTTTTAATATTTATGAGAAATACTAAAGAAACATATAAGTACACTATTAATGAAAAGAAATATACTTAATACTTCAAAATTATTTTAAAATGCTTATGTAACCATGATCTTAATTACATTTGTAAATTTATGTACTGTGAAATTATGATTGTAGAAAACATAATTAAAGTTATTATAAATGAATTGCCACCAACATTCATTGTATGATCTTCTTGTATTGCTAACAGGCAATTTTCTTTTGGCTTTGTTGAAGGTCTTGGGTCTAAACTTTAGCAGCTGTCAACTCTTATTTCAATTTACAAGAAAGTAAGTAATACATAAGCTGATGTTACTATTTTCGGATCAATTACCACTTTTAGTTCCCTTTTTAAACACTCCAATATGAGGGCTGGGCACTAAATTACACTGAAGATAGAATCGTTAAAGAATCCAAGTATTGACAATCATGTCCACATTAATTTCACCAATGACAGGTTTGTCCCTACTTATATAGAATGTTTTGGACAGTTTAAATTACCTTATTTTTAAGGAGGGATAGGTCTGGATTATTATGGGCTATCACAAGTATTGTTTATTTGATTAGGCCATGACTTTTTGAACTTCATTCAGACATCCTTGCCAGTGGAGATGGACAACCATAATATAATTGAACAACTGAAAAAGATCCATCTCCTCTGATAGGGACCTCTGATCTTGTCTGAAAATGAACCACCAAGGGTGTTATCTCTTATAAGTGAGTCGAAGTCCTATAGTCTTGATCTAATTAAAGCAGTAATTATTTTAATAATTAAACAGATATATCAGTGGTATTTCGGTCCCTCAAAGATGGAAAACTTCTATACACTCTTGAAAAAACTCATCTTTGTCTACTTTAGAACGTAATATATTAATGCCAATACCTAAGATGATAAGTTTTGTCAAAACTACTGCTGATTGAGAATAGTTTACAAGTACCAAAACATAGTTGAGAACTGTTTGTAGCATCTGTGACAGAGCTTGATATTTTCAGATATATTAAAAAAATATTGTGTTGTGTAAATAGTTATGAGATTTCTATCATTTCAACTGACTGGTGTTGTTACCTCAAATAAGAAAAAAAAAATCAACAAATAAGAAAAATAAAAAAAAACTTTAATAATTGTATTTAATTATGTATATCGAATCAATGGTGTATAAACTGTTTAGTGTTTGTTCCTGACATAGTTATTATTTACTTATAAATGTAAGGAGACAACACTTGATTTGATAAACTGTTTTGGTAACAGGTACTACATAACTTCAGTTATTATAGATGTGTGATAGAAAGTAGTTTGGTTAGAGCATTTTCTCTTTTTCCGGCCACAATGTTTTTTTATTTTCTAAATGGATAAGCATTGTAACTCCATTGATCCTAGTTATAAACTATTTGATTTTCAAATCTTATGTATTTTGTATTTATTTTAAATGTATACACATTATGTCATATTCAAAGAAGAGGATATTCTGAAATAAAAAATTCAATAATCGCTTTGGGTTTTATTCTATTGTTCCTTTAAGATGATTGTTATTTTAGATAAAACATTAAAGTGAATTTGATCATTTTTAGAAGAATAATCATTAAGATTTTAAAATAGGCTGCCAATAAACTTAATATTAGTATAATCACCCATATATATGCATAGTTATGCAGACACTAAAAATGTAAAAAAATAAGAATTGGTAAACAGATAGAAGAAACTAAGTATTTCAAGAATCTGAGAAAAATTGCTTTCAACAAGTGCTGATTTTCAAACTACAAATAGTAAATTTTCATGAATGTATTTAAAATTAAAATAAGGAAAATTAGCAAAGGTAAAATAATTTTATGACACACAGTATCATTTTATAATATATATACGCTCCCAAAGTCGTGCTCATCAACTCTCTTTCAGAACTTCAAATATATCAATCTCTATGAGAAGTCATCTCAATTGCATAAAAAAAATTAAAAACAATTGAACTTGAGACTTCTAATAAGACCAGGTGTGGAAAACTTTCTAGATACTAAAGTACTAACAGAGAAATAAAAAAAATATACTTAAAAAAATATATTACACAATATATAATACATACATTATACAATATATTTATTATAATTAAAAAACAATAACAATTGAAATTGAGACTTAGATGTGGTTAAGGTTAGATGTGGACATTTTCTAGACATTTAAGTACCAACAGAGAAATAAAAATGTTATTATACTCAAAAATAAGTATACATTATATGTACAGTACATGTAACATCCAATAAAATAACTAAAAATATTTTTGAATTGATTCTCCTAAAATTTCTTCCATTTCATTAACAACTTTTTGACATTCGAATTCTACTGTTTCAAAATCATCTTCAAGGAGCTCAGCTAGGAAAGGAACTGTTTCAGGTAATAAGGGCATAAAATCTTCGCCCAATTTAGCAGCCAAAGAGCAAGTTGCATTGAGGCCAAGTATTCTTACCTGAAAAATTTCAACAAGTTTATAATTAACTTTCAATAAGTATTAAAAATGGTTTAATAACAGAAGTTTTAAATGGTCATAATGTAGAAGATGAATTATTAAAATGCAAAAAATAAATCTAAATAGAAAATTCAATCTCATCTTATAAAACAATTTTTTTTTTACAAACAATCTCATTTTATAACATTTTTTTTTATTTATTATAATATTTGAGAAAAAAATAAATATGATTGTAAAACTCAGTGTTTTGAGAAAAAAAACCTGTTGGTGTGGATATTGGCAGTTGGAATGTAAATACATTACGTAATAATAACATGACTGAGTAAAACGGTTTTACATTTTTTCATGAACACTATAATAAACAGGATATTATTAAAATCTAGGATTTTTTTTTATTTCACAAACCTCTTTCTCTGAATACCCACTTCATACTACTTTGTTACTTCGTCGGATCAGAATCAATTCAGATTGTTTATAATCAATATCCAATATGATAATGAGTAAAATCTTGAATTTTTGGAGGGCTATAACATACTTCTATTGAAACAAGCTCACTTCTCTTTATTCATTTTTTTCATTCAAATTACCAAAATATGTATAACAAAAAATTTTCATTATAAAAATAGACCCAAAATATGTGCTATGTTTTGCTTCTAGGTAGGCAACCATTGTATTTGTGCGAGAGGTTAAAAATTTGTTATGCTCAGAATTAAAAATTTCCACTTGGGTTTTACATTTCAGACATCAAGGACCAAATTTGGTTCGGCGCCTGTTTGGAGTCAAATTGATGTGACGGACATATCACCATTTTATCTTTCATCCGATGGTCCCATATCGATTTTATCGAATTCCATCCACCACTTCCACTTGCGCATACATATTGTATTCTCATATATATGCCAAGAATATATTTATATATATTTCAGAAACGGCTCATTCAATTTGGCTCGAAGTTGGATAAAAATTAAGTATTGGTGAAAAAATAATGTAGCGTCAATTTTATTGTATTCAGACCATCACTTTCTCTTATATATGCGCAAATGTGTTTTCCTTGATATGTCTATATCTCTAAAACCGCCAGTTCGATTAGGCACAAATTTGGAAGGAAGTTAGAGATTGGTAAACAGATAATCATAAGTACGTATTTAATGAAATTCTATCCACTACTCCAAAAAAATATACTTCCGCATTCAGGTCAGGAAATTTATTATTTGAAAACTGCACATTCAATTTGACCCAAACTTTGAGGAAATTTGGAGAAAAGTTGAATTTTTCCTATGGATTTTTGTTCCATCCATTTTACAAGTGAAAACATACCTATTAAGTATATATTCCTGTTAGTGCAAAAGGTCAGATGTCAAAATTTTCAACTTTTATTCTATTTGTGCTGAAGGTGATATTTTATAGTTTGCAACTGATACAAGCAGTCTTCTACGATGGAAAATAGCAGAGGGCAATAAAATACAAAATTATACTAATAAATCATAAAGAAACAATCAGTTTCTATGCTCTCATTTTTTACATACATTAATGTTCAGTATGCACAGGAATTCTTTTTTTTAATCACGAATCATCAAATACGCAATCTGCAAATTTCTCACATTTTAATATTCGCTGATGAACAAAACGCGTAGAAATCAAACCTGTATATGTTGAGGGATTAGTGAATTTCCGAAAACGGCTTTTCCCAGGGATTTTATTCTCATACGAAAGATTGAAAAAGGTGGGTAAGTTATTCTGACATTACTTGGCAGATGCTTTTTTTTTTTTTTCAAAGCTGCAGAATCAATTACACAAAAATTCGTTGGATGATTTTTAATGAAAAAATATGAAAATGGTAAATTTTTACTAATTTTGAATTAATACTTGTCTTAGAAATTTTTGATCATAATTCACTTATTTTTGAACATTTAAATGTAAATGTGAAAAAGAAAAAAAATTTACCAAAAAAGAAAACAAAAATAAATCTTTGGGGCTAGTAGTTCACCTAGACAAAAACATCTATTAACTTTTTAAAGACAAACTTACTAATATTATCATACATACCTCAGGTGAATCGTGCCTCGTTTTGAGGAGAATTTGATGATTTAAACGCTTCCAAAGGGAATCATCACCTGTTGAAGTAGCCATGCTAGCAAGACATGGTATCAGAATGTCCTTACACCTTTCATTGGCAACTTCAGCATCAGTTGATCTATTTTCGAGCTACAATGATACACAATATTAACATGGCTCTATTATGTTTGTTTTTATGGTTCAATGCAAGCAAATTATTACCTGATCAACGAGTGGTTCCATGATTATATTAAAATATTCTTTTGTCAAACACTTCTGTGAATCATTAGTAAACGTTGTTAAAAATGTCAGAATTATATTTTCAACAACTAAAATAGATTTTTCGGTAGCATATTCACCACTAAACCAATTTTCGATTTCTTTAGCAGGATTGTTTTTCACAAGAATGTCAGCAGCATTTTCAATAAATATACCAAGAAACAAGGGGAACAAGCTTTTAAGTGACTTTGCCAAGTGGTAAGACAACCTAAAATAATCATACATCAGTAACACTCCGTTAGTAATTTACATAAGTATTTAAAAAGTAATAATAATAATGAAATTATATTAGCTAAAAATTAATTAAATGTCTAAACATCTATATAGAAAAATAACTAAGCAAGTTACAACCTATTAAATTTAGTGTAGTAAAAATAAGGAAATAAAGTACTAACAACTTACCTATAAAATGTAATAATTCTATCTCTGGGAGCCTTTTTCCTTGTTGCCCAGTCAAATATTTTCTGATAAAGTGGTCTGAATGACGATTCTGAGAGTTTGAGAATGAGCTTCGAAAATGCCACAATCACTGGATTTTCAACAGACTCGCTTTCAACCAAAGATGGCTCAGGTTGAATCGTACGGAACTCGAGAGTAGAAAGAAACAGTTTAACAGTTTCAGAACTGAGATCTGAAGCTGAGGTGAAACTGTCTGATAATATGGTCATCAACGGACCAATAGCTTGGTAATGGCCGTGTTCTAAAAGGTCTGAATGGGCTGCAGAAACAGCTGGAACAAGCACCCTCGTTGGAACTTCGTTTGATATCTTTTGCCTATTTAAATAAATGAATAATATTAATGTCAACTAATTCACTATTAAACACTATTATTCACAAGATTGATGTAAATTATGAAATTGTTATTTTGTGTAAACGTTGTCACATAAAAGTAATAATCTACTAGGGAAGGCTCTCCTCTGATTCCAAAACTTAATGTTATATAAACAAAAATCAATAATAAGGACATCAAAATAAAATGAAAAAGAAACCTAATATAACCTCACAATAATTTTAAGAAAAACGTTATAATGAATAAAATTATTCAATCAGAACTACATTAAAAAAAAACACTTCATGGTAAAAAATTAATAACAAAGACTCACTTTTAGGGTAACAGAAAAACAATTCTCCATACACATCCATTGGGCAAGGAGACTAAAATCGTTGGAAAGATGTGAACTTCTAATGGAGAAGGGGCATGAAGGAGGATATAATTTCAAAAGGTGTAGGAAAATAAACAGAAGACTAATCAAATGGAATATTTTCATTTTCAATATCATTCTGTATTAACATATAATACAGAACAATGACACTATTCTTACATGGACTACTTGCCTGGGGGTCCCATATAATTAGCAATGTAGCCACTTAAAGAAGTCACAATGGGAATAGTGAGGTATGAACGCCCAAGTACCTATAGCAAAGTAACCAGTTGCAGGTCAGCAGAGAGATCAATTATTATTATTATTAATTTCCTCAACAGTCTCTTTAACGGACCTGGGCCTCAGAAACAAGTTTCCGCCAGGCTTCTCTATCGACAGCTATTCTCCATCTTCTTATACCCATACAGCTGAGGTCTTCTTCTATATTGTCGATCCAATCAGCCACGATATTCCCCTAAGACGTGCTCCTCATGGGCGGTTATAGAGAAGTTTCCTAGGCAACCTATTCTCCTCATCTCTCTCTACATGGCCTAGCCATCTGAGGGGGCACCTTTTGACAGTGACTATAATATCGTCATTATTGTACAGCTCATGCAGCTCGTAATTTTTCTGTATTCGCCACTGGTAATTCATTATCTTCGGACCATATATTTTCCTTAGGACTTTCCTCTCCCAAATTGTCAGCAACCTCTCACTTTCCTGCATCAAAATCCATGTTTCACACCCATAGGTAACGACTGGCCTTATAATGGTTTTATGAATTATTACTTTGGCATTTCAGGTCAGTTCCTTGGATTTAAGTATTTTTTTGCCAGAGCATAAAACCACCTATTGCCCAGCTGTTATTCTGGCCTTTATTTCGGACTGCATTTTGTTCTGGTCAGTCACTATCACTCCGAGGTATTTGAATTCTGTTCCATTGGAAAAAGGTGCTGATTAATTTGTACACATTCAGGCATAGTCACATTATTCCTAAAGGACTTCCATGTACAGACTTTCCCCATCATTTATCCTTAGGCCAAGTTGCGTTGCTGTAGCTTTGAATTTATCGATCGATCCTGCAAAGACCAACATCAAGCGCTAAACGATAAGAATATCGTCAGCATATGCAAGGCCATTGAATAAGTCAATTGAATATAGTCCTTCAAGGATTGGTCCTTATTGCTCTAACCGCCCGCTCCAGGGCTAGATTAAAGAGGATTGGCGATATAGGATCTCCCTGCTTCAAGCCCTGTTTTACCTCAAAGCTGTTTGGGAGGACATTTTGAATCTTAATTAGTGATGAGCAAGGTCCTGGAGAACCTCATGATGTCATGCTTACGCCCTGTTTTCGATAGAGCAAGCCATCCACGGCAATATGGTTCACTAGAGGCAGAGGGACCGCTAATGCTCTGCTGAGAGTGCGCCAAGATGTTGAAGAGAGGACGGAACGTTATGTTGTTATTACTTTTTGATATTTCTTCCACCTTCGACAGTGTACCGTGGCCTAGCGTGCTCCAACAGCTGCGGAAATATGATGCTCCCAGCAATTTATATTCACTTGTAAGAAGCTACCTCCAGGACAGGCGTGACAAGATTAGAGGGAATCACTATGAGGTAGAAGCTTCCATTGAGAGGGAATGCCCTGCTTACAGTCGAGGCTTCAAGTGGGTCCTCCCGGACTACTGGATTTCCCAGTTCCTCACTGGGCATGGAGGATTTTGAGCTAAACTTGACGGTCTGGGCATTGATGCAGATCCTCTATGCGCAATCTGTAGTGTTCCGGAAACTGTAGAGCACGTACGAGGTCGTGACCTGCACCGCATTTGAAACGTTAAGAGCGACTATGACAAGAGCCTCTGGAATCTATGTCCTCACTGGAAATGAGTTTCCTCAGTTAGTCAGCGAGGAAAATTTCCCACATTTTAAGGATTTCATAGATGGAAGACGGCGGTGGAGCCCTCTCACTTCCATATTGGTGACCACAGAAGAAGAGGACAGGCGCCAGGAAGACCTCCCGATTCTGGAAGCTAGGCCGAAACAAGAAGAAGAAAGAACAGAAGAACTGCACATCATGTTAACTAGTAGTAGTGTGTTATTAAGCATTCATGCCTAATAACACACTATCACAAACACCCGTATTGCCATAGTGGCATGGGAGAGTGGAATACATAAATAAATAATCTTAATTTTACATTTAGTATCTCTTATCGTCATCTCTGTGAAGACAATATAATTTTTCAGGAATTCCTAGAATTCTCATGGCTTTCTGTAATTCCTTTCTGTCTATAGAACCATATGCCTGCTTAAAATCTCTGAAGACATGATGCAGATCCATGTTATGTTCGTATGTTTTCTCTAACATTTGTCTTACAGCAAAGACGTGATCTACTGTTGATCTATTTTTCCTGAAACCACATTGATAGTCTCCGCAAATTCTTTCTCCCCATGACGCTAGCCTCTTGAACAATTGAAAGGTCTTTATATACAGTTGGCAGCAGTGCTATTCCACTGTAGTTATCGCAATATAACTTGACTCCCTTTTTAAAATATGACATAAAACTGCAGTGTTTCATTCTTCCGGTATGGTTTCTTTGGTCCAAATCATATATAAGGTCATAGAGTTGCTAAGCTAATTCTTCCCCTCCATTTTTCAGTAGCTCTGCTGGTATTTCATCCACACCCGATGACTTTCTTTAAAGACATAATTATTTCTTCTTTTTCCGGCGGTATTTCCTATTCCTCACATATGTTTCCTCTATTCATATATGCTTCTTCTTCATCATATCTCAGTTCTACATTTCCTAGATATAATACTTCAGAGAAGTATTCAGTCCATCTATTTAACATATCCCAGCAAGTTTCCTCTTTTATCTTTACAGTAGTTTGATTTCGGTTTAAAACCTCCTTGCATTTCTTACTCTTTTGTGAAATTTCCTGGTTTCTTTTGCTGCATACCGCTCTTGTATATCTTTCATGATTTTGTTTTCCCAAGCTCTCTTTTTGAAGAGACCACCAGAGACTAAAACCGAGACCATTCATGGGCTATAATGGTGCAGGTTTTTAGTAACAAGCTTAGCCAGTGATGGAATAATGATAGTCTGGACATAATCAATAAAAATAAGAAGTTTATATAACTTTATGAGTTTATATGGGTTTGCCACTGGGAGCGCAACATCCCATAAGGCTCAATACTGAAGTTATTAACATCAACAAAATGAATCCAAAATGGTATATTGAAAACTTTATCAGATATTATTAAAAATATTTAAAAAACACAATAACAGTGAATTAAATGTTAATTATTTGATAATTGAAACCAACCTTATCAGTTTTAACTTGAGTTGTAATGACTGAACCTTTTGCTGTTGGTCGGCAATTTCCAAGTCATACTTAGCTGTTAATATGCATATTTGATACAACAATTTACCTAAGTAGGGACTCAGAAATTGGGGTGTAACTTCGACAATTTTTTGGACAGTAGTCACAATACTCAGGAGCAGAACATCACCACTAAAAAGAAACAAACATTAGTTAAACAGTATTGAACTCAACCATTATATTGTGTATCATTTAGAGAATATATAATGTATACATACCTAGTATCACTTAAATTATCATGGAGAGCAGAAATCAAAGTCGGCAAAAATTTTGGAAGATAAGGTAGTGAATGCACTTTTAACATTGAAACTAATTCTCCAAGACATAAGGCAACTGAACCAAAAACTGGCCCACTCGGTTTTGTATCTGAAGTTAAAATATCAGTAACTTTGGCAAGAATCTAGTAAAAACAAAAATAAGAAAATAGTATTATGATAAAACATTAAAAAATAAATTACTACCAAATTTTGGTAGTTGGATACAAAAAAAAAAAAAAAAAAAAAAAAAAAACAGGAACACAATTTTGAGATAAAACTAGAAAACTGGCAAACATTGAATTAACAAATTAATTTATATCATGATCCCATAACAATAATTTTTTTTTTAATATTGAGGACATTTTATATTTCAATAAGAAAAAGTAATGGGAAATTATTGTCAATTAAACAGCTTTGAAGCAAACAGCATAGCATAATTTTAAAGATGTTAAAAAAATTTTTTTTTACTATAAAGTATACTTAGTAAAAAAATATTCAAAGTATATTTAAATTAAAAGTGTATTTTCCTTTTTAAAAAAATATTAAATTTTAATCAGACAGAAGAAATACAGAAAAATGGTTGAAGAAAAAATATAGAAAAATAGATAAAGAGAGTATAATACCTAGATAAATTATTTAATAATTATAAATGACCAACAAACCTAATGTGATTACTTTTCAAGTTCCCACCATTGATTTTTATTTAATACACTGTTTCATTTCCATATGTTCTTTATAATTACTTTAACAAGTGGTTAAAAATAAATATTTCAGTAATACCAAAACTGATTAAAAATAATACTGAACCTTTCATATCAAGCTCTGATGTGAATTTATACTTTACAATTTAAAATAAAAACTATTGTTATTTATACATTCAACTTTTATTTTAGTACTTATATTTTGCTTTTGTTACTTGTTTCAATTTTCAAAACAGACTGAAAAATATAATGGCGTAAGTTAATCATTGTCATAGGAAAATTCAATCACAATTCTGATACTTTAAAATATTTTTTCCCTATGTCTCCAAATCAAAAAATACCCTTTCATTATTTTATCACATCCAAGTATTAATGAAAATTGCTTTTACCTTTACGAAATCATCTAGATAAGCAGTGCTCAGGTGCCTTGCCATTAACTTGATAGCAAACAAGGCTGCTTGCTGAGTTATATAAGAGTCAGAACTTTCGTTGGTCACTGCATTCTGAGAGCTCACGGAATCCAAAACCAAAATGAGAGGATCGAGCAGTTCCCGTAACTGAGACTGAAGTAGAGGAGATGGTTGCTGCAGTCTCCATCCAAGCAGCTCCATCGCTTTCCTCCTCACTGCTTCTATGGGGTTTCTCAAAAGCTGACCAACCACTTCAATGAATATTTCAGAAGGCAGCAATATATTGGCCTGAAATAAAACATTATTTTTATTTATACATTTAACAGTTAGGTATGAAATTAAATAACAAGGATTTACTGAAAAATACTGCAAAATATTATGCAAAGGTTCATTTCTAAATTGATATCAAAATCATCAAAAATATTTTTTTTTTGTCTCCTCCTCACACAACTTTTCGTACTACTTTGGATGAAAGCCTGATTTAAAAATTGTTTGTGATATTTTCACCAATATTGGTCCTATTTAGAATTTTACTTTTCATGTTTAGCTTTGTAACAGAAATAAGTTATCTTTCAAATTATTATCTGGCATTTTACAGATGTGTAGGTTTTGGGTTATCGAAAAAACTGTAAGGTAAATGGATTTTCAAGAGAATCAAAATTGTACGCAGAATGAATGTTTTAAAGAACAAGTTTACAAAATTCAATTCACTATTATATCTTTGCTAATACTGGTCCAGTCCAATTTCTATGTTTTTTTTTGTTTTGTAGGATATTCAACTTTATGCTGTAACAGAAGCATTGTAATAAAAGTTCATTGAACATCATGCTAATAAGAGAAACATTGTATTAAAATTTGATTGAACAATCTGCTTGATGGATTGATAAGGAGTAGATCATGCCTGTACATTATATTCCTAATATAAACTTTTTTTTGGCTATTTTGCTAACGTAAAATGGCAGGTAATTTAATATCAAGAGTTGGGGGATTATTCGACTCCATCTTCTTTTGGACACAATAAGGTATTTTAGAGTATCTAGGAGTCATGTGCTCCGGGTGATTTCAAAAACAGCCGCAAGTTAAGAGCGGTGAAACAGAACTAGTACTCTTTTTTTTACCATAAATATTTCCCAATATTTACGGAACACACCATATATGGAGTTGAATTAATGGAAATACTAATTCATTCATCAATTTTTCACACGAATAACAAACAACAATGAACACAAAAATACTTTTCCAGCACACCTAGTGGAAAAATATGTTAACTACAATTCCGAGTTTGTTCGAAAAATTTAACACTGCAAAAGGGTCTATAAAGTCTGAGGTAATTTCTCCTTGAGAGTGAAAAGCAAAGAACTTTACTATAATTTATAGGACAAAGCTTTGATAAAGAAATTTGACGATTTAAAACAGTCTTTATGAGCCAAATATTTTTTGTTGTAATTAGTTTATTTCAAAACTAAAATTTTCCAAAGTCAAATAAAAGTAACAAATTACTATTTCAAAAAAAAAAAAAATTTAACATAAGATTTAGGAATCGATTGATAGAAATTTTGGCCAATACCAATATTTCAAATGTACATGTATTGGCCTGTCAACTTTTATTCTTTCCATCAAGATTCATAGTTTCAGATAGAATATTTTCCTAATTGCTAAATAAACATTTAGGTACCAGCCTGTACAATTGTTGGCCATTAAAAGAGCTATATACCAATATAGCTAACTAATGTGCGTCTGCATGTTAGCAGTCTACCTTGACTTGATACCAATATACAAAGACTAATATATCAGCCTTTCGGCCTAATTTTATCAGAGTTAGTAAAGTTTTACTGGGAATATGCTGCTTATTGCTTAATAAACGTGTCAATCGTAAGTTTAGGAATGGATCTGTATAGAAATTTGAGCTAAAAACTATATAAAGGCTTTTCTGCCTTTTTTATCTGAAGTAAGTAAAGCTTAATTACATGTCCATCTCCAGACTTTTTATTAACTCCTCCTCCTTTTCTATCTTCCTACTTCTGTCATATCTAGCATGGAGGGGCCTCAATCCAACAAGGCCTAGCCTCGCGACCCCTGCAGAGTTGCTTCATTTGTTGGAGAGTTTTTCCTCCAATCCTCTGGATATATTCATCATATTAAAATTCTAGACCTTCCACATAGCATCTTGCCAGTGGGTCGAGCTCCCATAACCTTTTTGGGTTCCCAGTTCTTGCTTATTTGACAAACATGATCGAACCACTAGAGCTGTCTTTTTTCAAGAATGGATTTTGGTGCAGGAATTTTCACTTCCTTCCTAATCCTTTTATTTCTAACAAGGTTTCTTCTAGTTTACGTGTGTACTTCATTTCAGCTCCTGAGATTCTACTCATTTTTTTGTCCAGCATGACCCAGCTCTCGTTTCTATAGGTAAGAGTAGAGAGGTATACTGATTTGTAGATATGAAGATTGGTTTTGTGCCCCACATCTCAATGACCAACAATACTATTGCAAATACTATAGCAGATTTGATTGGCTTTAATGATTATATTAGCTATTTCCCAATCTATATTGTCCTGTCTATTTATGTTGGTCCGTTATTAGTCCTGTCTATTTATGTTGGTCCGTTATTAGTCCTGTCTATTTATCTATGTCTATCTATGATACTAATATTTCTAAAAGCGATATACAGGTCATATTTTATCAGGGTTAGTAAAGTTTCACTTTGAATATTCTCATTATTGTTAAATAAATGTGTCATCCATCGTCAAATAATCGACCTACATAGAAACTGAAGCTGTTACTAGTATTCCAAAGACTGACATATTGGTCTTTTTTTCTTTCTGCCGAGGTTCTTACAGTTTAACTTAGAATAATCTCTTTATTGTTGAATGAAATCATCTAGGGAACAACTTATTTACAACTTTGAGTTTATACCAATATTCCTAAGAAGTATATTTTAGCATTATTTTCCAGAGCTTAGCTTAGTAAAGTTTCATTTGGAATATGCTCTTTATTGGTGAATGACTGTCGATCAATTTTCCAGGAACCGATGGATAGAGAAATTTTAACCGGTACCCATATTCCATAGACCAATATATCACCCTATGGGTCTGTCTTTTTTCTTTCTTTCGAGGTTCGTACTGTTTTGCTTGGAATATTCTCCTGGCATATTGCTAACGTTTCATTTAAACACCTAGGATTGATATATTAGCATGAAAGTATCGGTATTATATTATATTTTATTATTTTACATTTTAATTCTGTGAAACTATAACAAATGAACCTTCACCTCAATTAACTTACTCAAATGAAGAATCACTCTTCTCAGAATTAACTGATCTCATAGTTATAGGAAGCATAAACATTATCTACATTTTCCTACCAACAGTTTTTTTTTTTTCATTAAGAAAAATAAATACAGCTGTATATCAGCTTCGGATATCGGCCAGTACCGATTATCAGCCAAAAGGCTGATATGCGGATATTAAATCAGTATCAGTAGATTCCTAATAAGATTCCCTCATAACACTTTTTATATAATAATGTTCCAAAAGTGAATGCACTGACTTTATGATCCTCATACATAATAAACCAACAACTAACTATTTTGTTAAACACAAATAAAATATTGTTAACTTCATAACTTTTTTCCTAATTTGTGAATAAAAAAGAAGAAAAATATTGAACATTGCCTATAACTAATAAATTACATATCATTAAAAAAACTTATTTTTATAAAAATATAACATACCTTATCTAAAATGTCATAACATTGATTCAAGACAACCTTCCAATATTTAGCAGTTGGTTGCTGCACAGAGTGTTCAATTTGGACAGATACACTTTTTATATAAACCAGACACTCTTCAACAACTGACCCAAATAAATTTTTCAATGAAACTGTTTCTTGATCACTCAATTCAGAAACCTGAATGAAAAATAATATTATATATATACAGTTTTACCATAATATGAAAACATCATAATATCATTTAATTTCTTTACCTGTAGTACAAACTGAGAGGATGACATTAGAGATGAAAGAAATGTTAAAAGTGTATATTTGTAATGACGGAAATTTTTTCCAGTGCTTTCTTCAATATTGTAAATAAAATTGAATCTTTTATATTTTGGCTTGTTGAGGAGATATGTTTCTGAAAAAATATAAATAAATGTGTAAAATGAGTGAATTCAAAATTGATTATATATTGAAATGGCCACTAATAATTATTTTTAATAACTTTAATATAACCATAAATTAATAAAATAATGACTAAGAAGGATATTAAATAATACAATAAGGACAACTGCGAAATTAGAAAACTTATCTAAGGGCATTAAAATATAAATTAAAAAAAAAACAATTTAATCCCATAGTTTTAATACTAATAAAAAAATGTTCAATGGAATAAATAAATAACTTATCAGAAACCTTTGTCATGCGGTAGTTTAGAAATGTATTGCAGAAGATTCAAGGATGCTTTTAGAATAGTGGATGGAGGAAATTCCGCACATAACTGTAAAGCATAACTAAGAACTTTAGGCATTGCTCCAGGATCTGAAGATTTATCTTCGTTTTCTAAAAAATTGGAAAAGTTAAAATCAATCTAAAACTCAAACTCATGAAGTAATTTTTAATTTAATACAAACCTGAAGAAGAATAACCAGATACATGTTTCTCAAACACAAGACACAGAAATATCCATAAGAAATCCCCTTCATTCAATGTCATCATCAACTTTTTAAAAAGTGGTATCCTTCTATGTTCTGGTAAGTCTAATATTGCAGCTACAAATACTCTTAAAACAACAGTAACTGCATCCTCAAGAGCAGCTCCTTTTTGGGACTAGAAATATAATTTTATGTTACTAATTTAATAATATTAATCCATAAATATATTAACAACTATGTAAAAATATATCCAATATTTAAATTAAACAAACTTACTTTAACTAGAATTGGAATTATTGTTTCAATAATTTTTGATATTAGCTGAAAACTATATGTATCATCCAAACGAATCACTGATGATCCAATAAAGGTAAAAATAGCCATCATATTATGAAGTACCTGATCCTAGAATTAAATAAAACAGTTAATAATTAATGTTAATTATAATTGATAATAAAAAAATACCAAATATCAAAATAAGCATAAAACAATACTGGGATCAGATGAGCAATATAGGAGAGAGCGAGGAGGGCATGGTGATGAGTCTGCGGATTATGGGATGCTCTGACGCACTCTACAACAACATCAACTTGTAAAGCTTCCAATGGAACTGACAATGTTTCTCCATCAGACAATTTTTTACAAACATGGAGAATACTCGACAGCAGCAGCTGTTTTACATATTCTACAGGTGCTTGTTGTTCGAACTGTAAACACCTAAAAATAAGCCAAGTATCAGTAAAATAAGTCAATTAATAAAAAATATTTAAAAAAAAAAACTGTAGTAATTGTCAAAATCAATTCTTACTTTTTTAAAAGATTAAATAGCACAGGAAGCAGAAGGCTTACGTTAGACAATTTCTTTTTATTTTGAACAAATTCAAGAAGGCAGACTCCTCGTTTCCATTCATTTGTTTCAAGTGTTTCTAGAGATGGTAGATAACTGGTACTAAAATAAAAGAATTTAACATATTACGTATAATGGGTTGACTGTTTAATTATACTTGTAGTAAGAAAAAACAACACCCTTATTTTTTATAGTCTCATTTATTTTGTCTTTTAGAGCTTTTAATGCTCTGCAGATTCATCTAAAAAAATCTGGTTTGATGCGTAACTTTCATTCACCACCTTCTTCTAAGTAGAAATAAGTATTTTCAGACAAAGGGAAGTGAAAGTAACAAAACAAAATTATAAATGGTATGAAACACATTATTTAAAACAATAAATTACCATATGTTTTTCATAGCTGTCTAATGTATTATATTTATATTGTTTGACACTAGCTATTTCCTTTCACAACTGTATATTTCAATTATTCATTTGATTACGATAAATAAGTAAGAGACACGAAATATTTTTAGTTGATAAGAGTGCCACTGATAAAGAAGGCTGCTATTATATTTATATATATTTCATTGTGGATATTTTTATTTGTTTAAGTACCGGTATATATACAAATTTTAATTTTTATATCACTGTATGGAATGAGCGTGGAAATGTATGTAGAAATAAATCAAAATCTTAAGTGATAATTAGTAATTTTAATGTATTTTAGATGTGTATAAATATATATACGTATATTCTTTTTTTATATTTGTTTTAGATGAATATGGTGCAGAGCACTGAAAGTTCCAGAAGATAAAATAAATGAGATTGTAAAAAAGAAGAGTATCGTTTCTTCTAACTTCAAATAAATATATATTTGTTTAAATTTAAAAAAAAATAATAATATTTAAAATTATTTAATCACCTTTTCCTAGTTCTGGCTCTGAGAGAACTTGGGCTGTATGGAACAAAAACATTCATCATGGGTGTGAACAATGAAACCAATATTTTTGAGTCTAAAGAAATTCTTTTAAAAAAAAGGGCAGCAGCATTAATGACTTGAACATTTTCAACATCCGTAATTGTCTCCATTATAAGAGATACAACCTTTTCTTGTAATGCATCACCAAGTTCATCAAATAGTTCTTTAGTGATCTATAAAAAAAAATATATTTTGTACCTAATTTTTAAATTAACGAATAAAGTGGTTTTATGATACACTTGTGTATCTTTTTATAATTATATATTAAACAAATATAATAATTTTATAAATATTTAATAAAATTTCAATGAAAAATGTTAATCCAGTCTCATAAAAATCGCAATTTTTATCCATCACGAAGAAAAAAATGACGTCTGCCAAGTAGGTCAGGTCAATACAGATTCTTCATAATTTTTAGGAGTACATAATGCAAAATGAAATACTGCTTTATATATATATATATATATTTAAAGAAGAAAAAATACTTTTGCTTAGCACAATTATAATAAATTCATATTTACCTGATTTAATATCAAAGCTGCAGGACAGATTCCCTTATTATCTGTGCTCAAAACAACACTTTTCGAATCTCTTAAGGCAATTTTCAAGGAATTCCAGAATTTTTCTTCTTTGAAAACATCAGTAATAGAATGATTTAATCTTTTGAAAATTGATGTAACAATATAAGACTCTTTCTCATCTAATTCTTCTGATGTTCCAAGTGATTGAATGGCCACAGGAAGCATTTCAAGAAATATTTCCTTAAAAAATATTTAAGAAAATCAGTTGAAACAAAATCTCAAGATATCTAACAACTTACATGACTAATATTTATCATATTTAACTTACTTTTGAATGGACTAATTCAAGTATTTGAAGAAGCTTTGCCTTCACATATAACGGATTCAAAGGATTCGTAATAATTGAAATTAAATGTTGAAGAACATTTCCCATTGAAATAGCTAATTCATCTTTTAACAGACTTTTGACTTCTTTAGATGGCGAAAGCTGTTTATAAGCAAAAATCTGAATCTGCCTAAAATTAAAATAGAAATAAATTAATAAATACACCCACTTTTAAGATCAACTATACAAATTAATAAACTGACTTACTCATGGTCAAGAAGCATTTCTGTGGAATGATTCACAAGTTCTTCAACTAAAGGTCTAAAAAATCCAGTCGAGAGAGAATCAGTTAAAATGGCCAAAATCTTTAAAGTTTTAGACCTTATGTTTTCTCCAGGAGTACCTAACAGTATTAGTAATGATGGTACTATCTGACATTGTTCTTTAAAAATGGATGGAATCAAACTAGAATCATTATCCAACATTTTGATAACTAAATTTAAGCATTTTCCGGTGGCTTCAGGATCTAATATAACTACATTCAGCAGAAACAAAATTTGGAACTCGGTATCTGGGAAATGAGTCTGAAAAATAATTTATTCATATTATTACAAACATTCAGCAATAGCTATTAAATTATAAATATGGTGTAAGTCATACTTTGAAAAAGGACATCTGCACTTGTGAAAAAGCTACACGGACTGCTTTAATATTCGAATGGCAGCCTTCGTGAAGAACCTTATACACTGATAATGTAAAAGCATTTGATTTATTTTTGGGATCTACCCAAGGTTTTCGAGAAAAACTGTGTTGTGGAATACATTTTGAAAGGTTAGATAAGCAGAACAATGCTCCCTGGATAGGAAGTTTTCCTTTAATGCTTAACTCAAAACAGCTCTGTAGTGTATTTTCATCGATTTCACCTATTTCCCCAACGGTATCAAGCTATAAAAATGAAAAGTTACAATTAATAACTTTAAAAATTAAGATAAAACAATATTTTAAATGAAAATCATGCAACTAATTAGTGCATAAATTAAGAACAAAAAATATGAGTATATATATAAATACCTCAGGAAAATGTAAAAATTCGGTGAGAAACTTCATTACTTGTTCAGCTATATCTTGTGATGGATGGTCACTTATTTTCGAACCTATCAACAATGAAGAAGAGAACCAGAATGCACTATGTTCCATTAAAAGTTTGGAGCCTTTAAACGTTGATATAAGAACCTCTACAGGAGGTATAGCACTTAAAACTGCTATCGTTTTCCACAAAATTACAGCAGCATTTGTCTCATTTGTGGCACCTATGGAAAAATGAGTAACTTTCAATAAAAAATTAAAATAAATACATCCGGACAAAAATAACAATTTCAAAAAAGATTTATTATCTTACAATCTTGAATATAATATTTAACAAGAGTTTAGAACACATAATGATCAGTGAGTTAAAGTTTTGGGGTGTTGTAGACCTAGAGCCTGTGAATAAAAGTTTAACTAAAATTCCTTCATCTTTACTGTATCGGGAAGTATTTTTTCCTTTCATAATATGATTTCATATTATCTATCTACTGTGAAATAATTTTTTTCCTCAAAATATGTCACATCTTAGTTGAGAATTCCATTCTTTTGAATCCTTTCAATCTGATTTAGAATAAATCCAGTAGGATATTATATATTATTCCTTTACTGTCTTAAGGCTTCCCCCTTAACCTAAATATCCAATCCCTATTGGACATCTACACTCCTATCAGAACCTGGACCTCATATTCCCACCCAACAATAAATATAAAAGAAACAGGATGAATCTTATAGCACTCATCTGTTAGCTTATCATGAATATCTCTATTTACTTCATAATAAAACTCAGCCTGAACCCTAACTCCATGTTTATTAATAAATATTTATTCATAAATTTACAATAACAAAATAAAACTAGTTAATGATTCCGAATATTGCATTAATTATATGATCAGCTCTTTAAACAATAAATAAATTAAACAGAATTTATAAATCATATTCATTCATACTCTTGTTACCTAATACAAATAGATCATACTTTCAAATTAATTATTCACAGAACTCTAAGGCTAAAATTCTTGCCCAATGTTATGAATGACCTCAACAACCATTTGTTATCCTAGGGTTTACACAGAACACTTGAGATCCTTTTCTAATCCTGTCTAGAACATTTGATAAAGGAGTTGAGTAGTGAGATATACTGGTCATACCCTCCAGTTGTCCCATCAACATAATTTAAATAATTTTATTTGTATTCGTTATTACAGCAATATACTGATTAATTACTGAAAAGTAACAGATGAATATTTTGTATTCAAATTTTAGTTTCTATGGATTTTGAAATGTAGTGATTCAAACTTAGAGAGAGAGGGTTAATAATTTTTTCTTGGTCAATAATACAGGTTCATTCATTATTGAAAATAATAGATCAAAATTAGTAGCATCAGTAATAGGAGTTATAACAGATGAAACCAAAATATAAAAATAAAAACTGCAGACTGAGATAACATACTCTCACTGACAAGGCTGAGCTGTATATATCATCTGTTTCTGTTTAGCTAAACTCTTAATAGAAAGTCTCATTTATTCTTTCAACTCTCACAATTAGCTATCTCTCAGTAAAAATGGAAAGAAGGTATAAAAGTTGAGAGCTCATGATGATTTTAACAACATCCACGAAAATTACTCTCAATTCTCAACTAAGTAACACAGTAAAAATGTAAGGATAAACATTTCAGCAAAACATTGTTCCTAATATTGACTTAAATATTTATTTATTTTTTTATCATTAATAATTAACTAAAAAAAAGACAACAATAGTGTTTGCTTTAGCTGATATAACACTTTTCAAAAATAAAAAACAAAAAAAGCAATAGAACACATGAAAAATGTTTACAACACCATATCTTTGTAACAAATGGTCCTATTTCAACAATTTCTGTTTTGGTTCACTAGGTAATTTCGTAAACTTTTAAATTATCATAACAACATCCACAAAAAAGTGTATGCTTTTTTATTATTCAGAAATCTAATTTTATCACCCCTCATAACTTTTATTTCAGCTTCTTTTCTGAGAAGTATGTCATAATATTTAAAGGGCTCCGAATGAAAAGATTTTAGACAAGTTTCATTGAAATCGGTACATTCATTTAGCCATTACAGTCTATGAGACACAGACCTTTCAGCCACCATCTTGAAACAAAAGTACTTTTCAGTGATGTATGTTATATAGATAAATTTAAAGGACATCGAGGAGAAGACTTTAGCCAAATTTCAACAAAATCGGTACATTCGTTAAGGCGTTACATTCTATACCAAAACATGTTTTTAGGAAAGGTCAGATGGTAATGTCGAGGTAGGAGGATCATTGACCTCTGACTTTGATTCCAAACCTCAAAACAACCAGTCCTATAGGGTCTTTAAAAGCTGTGGACGGCAGACAGACAAAAATGTTTTTATTCGATTTTCGGATTCTATGTATCGTGAAATGTAAAACCTTGAATGTTATGGGGAGTTAACTTTTTGGTCAATTACAGCGGTTCATTATAGAAAATAATAAACTAAAACTTCTAATCCGATCGAGATTAATTGCATGTTCAGATTAGGGGTTTCTACTAAAATACTTATTTCTTACAAAATTAACTTACATGACTTTAGAATAGACAAAAATTCCAGTCTATCTGATGGAGCATTTTCAATGACATCTGATTTATGCATCGCAGAGATGATGAATGGGAGAACAGCTATTAAGACAACTACTTCATGTTCTTTGGTGGTGTTGTTAATAAGAATAGTTATTGCTTGTAAAACAATAGGCTCATCTGTTGCAGAAAATCGAGCAATAACTAAAAGCAAATTATTTACCAAAATGTCTTTTGGTAAAGTCGATATTATCGGTGCTGGTAACCTTAGAAACTGCCGTACAACCTTGGGACTATCATCTTTCAATCTGTCTAAAAGTGTCTGACTTAACCACGCCAACTAAAACAATAAAATAAATAATAAATTAGTTAATATACAAAATTATTACGTTGCATTTTTAAAACATTGTATCAGTGGAATAATACTGCTTTATTGCAAGTGTATAACAATAATATAAATTAAAATAATACAAACAAACATAAAATCTTCTTTGTTTTTTTTTTTTGACAGCGTATTGAATGAAAATAGAATCTGCCTCATTGAAGTGCAACAAGTATTAGGGCTACAAGAGTTCATTAATACAATATATACAGACAAAATATATAAATAATAAAAAAATATAATAATCAATTTAAAAAAATAAAAATTATAAATAAATAAAAGTAATCTTCTATCTTCTTATACACATTCATATCTACATACAGTATATAAAATCCTAAAATTACTGTGTTAAAACCTTCAGAATATTAAAAGTTAATTGATAAATGTACAAATATAGTTGTAGTTACTACACAAATAAATATCAGCACTTATTAAACTTATGGTCACTAACCACATTGCCGAGAAAAATTAAAATTGTTTCACTCAGAAAATATCTAAGTTTAAAAATCATCAAGTAAGCTAATTTTCATAATTATTAAAATTACACAACTATTATCATTTATGTAACATTACCTGATTAGGTTCAAAATGTTTTCCGATATGCTTAATGGCTTGTAAGCGCACATCTTCATTTGGATGAACTAACTTTAGAAAGAGATCATTTCTAGATGTGTTAATGCCTAAGATAATTTTAACAGCTATTCCTGCTTTAGACTGTTCATCCGAAAGAGCTGCTGATACAACAGAATCGAAAACTTGAGGGAAAGAATTCTCTAATCCTTTAATCACTTCACTGAACCATTTAATAATTTCCTCTGTACTTTCTCCATTGAATTCTTCTAATAATATCCTTAAAAATATTAACTGACATTAGACAACAGATAATTATTGATCTAATATAAATTATAATTAATTTTTAACATAAGAAAAAAATTAATCTATGTTCAAACTTAGAATCCTCAAATATGCTATCTACAAGATGTTGACAAGAAACAAAATAACCATTTACACTCTTCTTCCATGAAATTATAACAAGAAAGGATACATTTTTCTACGGAGTGCATAAATGAATTTTCAATTTTAATTTGTAGTGGAAAATTAGGTTACAACAATAAAATTATAAAAAGTCCTAAATTTTTCTGATGCATATTTGCAAAGATAATGAGCATTAAAGATAATTAGTCGGGATGGAAACACAACTATGGCAGAGGCTGTCAGTACCTAGATTATAGTTTTAACTTTGGAAACTAAATTATATAGTTTTTCACTCTGTTATCTTCAAGTAAAAATATTTAGTTTAAAATGAATTAGCATTTAAAAATAAATAAAATAAGCGAGCCATAAAAATACTAATTCCATAAAGTAAAAAATCAAATCTTTGTCAAATCATAAAAACTTAATTCCAGATTTTTCTTTGTTGAAAATTTGCAATTCTATAAATTCAAAGTAAAAAAATGAATAAATGAAAATATATTTTATTATTCTGGTTCTGTTGTCCCGTTAGAATAAATTATAAGAACAGATTGCATGTTTGTGTGGTCATAAATAAATTATATATTTACAATAAGAGTTTATTAAAAATAAAAAAACAGAAAAGGACAAGAAAATTGTACACATATATAAGACAGACATAGGAAACTAAAAAACCTAAATAAATTGAGGTAGTCTCTCATATACTAAGATCATCATCATCATCATATGTGGCACGACATCCCGTTACCGAGACTGGGCCTCCTCCAAGAGCCTCCGCCAGTTGGCTCTGTCTTCTGCTGCAGTTCTCCAGTTCCGTACACCAAGCAGGGTTCTCGCATCATAGGCCACGTTGTCCAACCATCTCGTCCTCGGCCTTCCTACCCGTCTTACGAGGTGCAGCTCCTCCATCATTATTTTCTTTGGTATTTCAACGGTGCTCATTCTGGCCACATGCCCTGCCCACCTTAGTCTGGTCAGTTTAATATACGTGACTACATCGATGTCTGTATAGAGAGAACTGAGCTCCCTATTTTTTCTTTTCCTCCAGACATCACCCTCCTTTACTGGACCATAAATTCTTCTGAGGACTCCTCGCTCAAACACACTCAGCTTCATCTCATCGTTTTTAGTCATCGTCCACACCTCTGAGCCATATGTCAAAACAGGCCGAACAAGGGTCTTGTATATGATCAGCTTGGTCTTCTTTGAGAGGTACCTACTTCTTAAGTGTCGGCCAAGTCCAAAGACACATCTATTGGCAGCCGTGATCCTTCTTTGTATTTCTTGAGCCATGTCATTTTTGCTATTAATTTCAGACCCAAGGCATACAAAACTTTTCACTCTCTCAAACTTAAAAGAACCTACCTCAAATGGAGAGTTCAGATCCACATATACTAAGATAGTTCTCTTATATTTCGTATGGTATATTTCATAACCAGTCGGATTGAGAAAGGAGTAGGTGTTTAAAGAGGAAACTGATTGTGCATGTTGAATATCAGCAAAGATGGAATTTCAAAGGGAGGCGGCTTGAATTGCGACCAGTCAAACGCAGCAAGTTCGGTGAGGATGAGGATAGACATCTGAAGTATGAGATCTAGCGGGACGGGATTGGATGGAGTATTTAAATTGTAAGTTGTAAAAAATAAAGGAGGGTCGATGAGTTCTATTTATCTGGAACAGAAAGGTGGCTAGGAAGTACTGACGGCGATAGGATGGATAGAGCCACTTCACTCGGTGTAATACTGGGTAATATGCTAATCTCTAGAAATTTCGAAAACAAAAATGAACTAAAAATGTAGCTCTTACTACTTTTTTATGATGATTGGGTTCATTCTGAGTATCAGTTAGTTCTGAAGTATAGTTTAACCTTTTCGTTAAGAAGGTTCAGGTATCACGAGAGAGATGCATACCTCAAGAATTTTATAGATAATAACTCAAACTTATGCAAGTTAATTTTTGGTTCCATATTAAATTCCTTGTTAAACATTATTGTGCAATGTATTTAGCAATCAATCAACACTCACCTGGTTTCCTCAAAAAGATGTTAATAAATCTTTATGTTTCCCAGTATACATATTGTGATTTGACTTTTGATTTGAATAAAAACTATTAATTTTCTTCCAACAATAGATCTTAATAATGCCTAATTATACCAACATTTTACCGATTGTCAAGACTGAGAATGATGGTACTGCATAGCAAGGGGAAAACAACTTTTGCAATTTGAACAAAGAAAAAAATTGGTTTTTATCAACTTTTTATGAATGGAAGAGAAATAAAATAAGAGATAAAAGAAAATATAACTATTACTTACTTAAATATCTGTTCAGCAGTATCTGACTTATATTTAACATTCGTCAACATCTGATAAACAAAATCCTTATAAACCTCTTCGCCTTCCTGTATCCTTTTCAAGCAAGTCGTTAACAATAAACACAAAAATGGGCAGATATCAATCCCAGTTTTATTAAGAGTAATTAAACTTGAAATAAACCAAGGAGCCTCTGCTATTCTCGCTGCTGCCTTTTCAGGAAATTCACATTTCCCTTCATTATTTTGAGATAGAAGTATCAAAACTAGAGTTGTTTCAGAACGTAATTTAGCATGCTCTACCTAGATAGTGAGTCACAACAAAATGATTATTCAATTTTTTTTCTGGATTTAAAAATAAATATGGAATCTCATTTTTAAAAATAATTTAATTGAAGCAACATCCTACCTTACTGATTTTGTTGAACAAGACATTTAGAACTTTAGGACTCAGGCAAGTTTTCGTTGCTAAACGTGCAATAATCATGTAACCTGAGGCAGTATAATCAATTAAGGAGGATGAAAGTGCTGCTAGCACTGATGGTAAAATATGAGTAATATGTAGTTCATTTATGGGATCAGCATGTTGTAGCCCACCGACGACAGTAGTACAATAAAATGCAAATAAAGTTCCTAGTCCTGATGCACGGCTACCATGGATCTATCAAGATAAACAACATACAATAAACTATTAAGTTAAACAATTTTAAAGAGACTGATAATGATTATTCTACAAAATACTGAAAAACAATTAAATGTCATACTGGAGAATAGATTCAGATCGCAGATAGTAGCTCAATTAATTAATAACAAAGTTCTTCATACATATCATAGATAATTCTCAAAAATCTACCTTCATTATTAAAAACTTTATTGTAATTTTTTTTGAGAGCCATAATATTTAAATTTTTAGTTTGTTCTGTTTTTTAATATTTCTTTTATTGGAGAAATTTATTTTTTAAATAAATTAATTAATTTACTTAAAAGAAGTTTTACCTTAGCGTACCTAATGACTTTTTTATTCAAGAAAATGATCTTAATGCAGCATTTTTAATCTGCAGATCAATAAACTCTGTCTACTAAATGGAATACTAAGAACTCATGAACATAATAAGTATGCAAATGTTTCCAAGACATAATTAAGTGAAAGTATGCTATAAATTACAAAAAGTAAGGGCCATCAGAAACAAAATTTGTCTTTTTTTTGTGTACTATGTTTAAAGCAAGGAGAATTGGGCTAGGGAGTGTTAGAACTTATATGATACATAGAACTGATTGTACACTATACTAAACTATAAGTCATGAACTCCAGTGAAAATTACATCAGCGAGAGATGTTTTTATTTCCAACATCAGCATAGCTATTGTAAATCAAGAGCTAGGATTTGCTTGAAAACACGATGAAGCATAAACAATAATATGGGTATTATTTGAACAGATTGTCGTCATTAAAACTTCATTGAATAAAAACTATTGATTTTGGTATAATATTTTAAAATGAAATCTGAAAATTTATATTTGACACAGAAGAAACTTCAGGATAGGAATCAAGAATAATGCAAAACATGTATTACCTTTATGGCCTGTGCTGGCATATCACATACAAATTTTAGAAAACCCATATCTTTAGAAGCTCGATTCAAAAGAGCAGTTTTCGATAATGGAACACCTCTCTTCTTAACATTGTACAGCCAATGCCATTTTCCAGTATCTTTTTCCAGGTAAATTATTTGCAGCATTCGAGAAAAAAGAACTGTTTCATGGTAAGGAAATATAAGGAACATAATATCGTCGACATTAAAATTATTTATATGATATCTGAAAATAATAAGAGATTCAGAGGGTTAAGACATTAAATATTTCAAATTAAGGACTACTATAATTCAAACTACTAACCTGTTTATAAGCCATTCTAAAGCTTTGTGAGCTGGTTTTAGAAGGAAATAAGGACTTAGCAAAGTCAAAAAAGTTTTGATTTGATCATTCAACTTTTCATTGGCTTCAGAACTTTCAACAGAACGTTCGAAAAATCTAGATGTAACATCAAATAATGTATTGTCAAATGCACTAAAATTAGGATTAAACTTTTTCAACTCCTCAAGACCACTCAATCCTAAAATCAATTTTAAGAAACAGTATTACAATAAAATCCAAGCTAGGCAATAAATAATGAATTTGTACAATCTTACCTAGTTCATAAATATCATCCCTATCAAAATTAGCAGCTTCCTTTGGATCAAATAGGAATGAATCTTTTTTCTTTCTGTGTAAAAGCAACTGAGTCTGTGGTGCTTGGAGTTTCTTCAGCTGAAGAGCTAATGATGTATTAGGCATTTTTGTATAGGTTCACACACATCAACAGTATGCCGAGAATGTAAATAATAAAGTACCCACGTGGGAGCTGTCAAACTATCCAGAACGTCTACTATAAGTTTACTATAAGTCGCCAGACTGCGCCCATGTCGTGGAGGGAATTATTTTTTGTCCCCACCACCAGTGTTTCCAATAATACACGGGCGGATCTACGGGGGGGGCTTTCGGGCTGAAGCCCCCCCCCCCCAAAATGGTAAAATGTAACCATATTTTACAGAAAAAAATACTTTATACTATCTCTTAAAGTATTCTTGTTGGTGTAATTACGTTTAATAGGACTTCAAGAACCACTTAAACACCATTTCATATAGATAATTAATTAATTTCTTTTTTTTCAAATTAATTATCGTTATATATATATATATATATATATATATATATATATATATATATGAAAAAAAAAACTGTCGGGCTGAAGCCTCCCCCCAAAACTAAATCCTGGATCCGCTAGTGCAATAATATTAATAATAATTTTCCTTTTGGTCAGTAAGATCTTCCAAATTTTCTCTCATAATGAGTATAAAAATCCCTTCCGCTCAAATCTATACGAAATAATAAGCAATACTAAATTCGCTTCACTTATACTATTTAAAAAAATTGATTATACAGCATTTTCTTACCACAGGCAAATTTTCAATAAAACAGTCCAATTGTTTAACTACATGCTTCCCTTTTGTATGTTGTTTCTTCAGAAAAAGAGTTCTACGCAATGGAATTTTTTTTTCCTTGAATTTCCAAATACTTCAATATTGCTTCTGTATTCAGCTTTGGATTTTGCTTTCTGTACCAATTTAAAGTAATAGCACATTATGTTAAATTAATATTTCTAAAAAAAAAGAAAATAAATTCACCAACTGCTTGAATTATTTTCATGGCCTCGATCCGGCGCTGCTAGTTTTCCCGGTCGCTGCTCAGCTGCTCCATTTCTGCGGTGGTCTTGCCTCTGTTACTCCCAATCATCTGGATATATTCCCGAAAGGGGATTCTTAGACGACCACACTGTCTTCTGCCTGTAGGTATAGTTTCCAGTGTCCTTCTGGGCTCTCATCCATCCGACAAACATGTTCAAAACATTTTAACTGTCTGTTTTCAATGACTATCTTCAATGGAGTACCTCTAATTCCTCTCTAATTCTATTGTTTCTCGCCTTGACTTTCCTGCTGCTCAACGCAAGAACTTCATCTCAGCGCCGGTGATCCAGCTGAAATGCCTATCGAACATCACCTAGCTCTTGCCGCTATATGTAAGGACTGGTAGGTAATTTTATACATGTGAATTTTAACGTCTCTACCTACCTCACGCTATCCTATTCTGCTATTGTTGATGTGGTAGTACGCCTGGTTCGCTTTATAAATCGTATTTGCTATTTCTAGGTCAATCCTACCAGACCTATGATCGTCCCAGGTAGTTGAACTCATTTACTACCTCTAGGGTCTTCCGGCTACATACCATTTCGACATTTTCTTCTTCATTACGTGAAATAACTATGATCTTGCTTTTCGAGTCATTGATGGACATTCATTTCCGTAGCTCTTCCGCTTCCCATTCCACCAGTGCTAGTTGTTAGTTTTCTTTTGAATCTGTAACTAGGACTAGATCATCCGCAGATAGAAGACATTTAACAAGAACTCTGCATCCTTCCTTTTTTATTGCAGTCCACGTCTTTCTGCGCTTGCAAATTTTATGAATCTCATCCATCTTCTCCTTCATTAGCGCTGCAACCTAACGGGTCCTGGCTTTCTCCAACAGCAACCGCCGTGCATCTATATTGTATGCCGCTGCCATCCAGTTTTGGACCTTCATATATTTGTCTGAATCTTCAAAGCTTGATGACACAAGATATGTCCAGCTCTTGATTTAGGTCTTACACCTCCCGATTGTTTCTCCTCCTCCATTAATTACTACCATACAATCTGCCGTTAATTCAGCTAAACACTTCCGTTCAAATGCGTGGAGGAGTTGGTCTTCAGCCATGGTCGTGGTCCATCTCCGGTCCATAACATAGTCCTTGATGGATGAGAATTCTGTAAATGATAACTTTTGTTCTCCTACTTATCAAATTGTTTGAGAGATGCTTCCGGAGTCAAAATAGCAGCGGTTGGCAACTAATATTCTCCTCCTAATCTCCACTGCAGTATCATTCTTGCAAGCTACCATTGATCCCAGGTAAACAAACTCTGAGACCTATGTTGATGTTATACATGGAGTTAATTCTTACATATGGAGGCTATACCGTTGTACTCCTAATCTTTAGGAATTTTCTCACAATCCCGCAATACAGCTTGAAACAATTAATTTATGACAGGACAACGACGTCGGTTCAAATCTGACCTGGGCGAGTTAAAATTTATTTAGACCCACTAAATGAATCTCGACCTTTCCAACACCGCTTAGAATAGGTTTGGTTGTACCTCTAGAACAAACCTCTGTATGTCAGAAATGACGTGGTAGAGGTATTCAAAAAAAAATTAGATGATATGTTGACATTAATTTAAATATGTATTATAAATATGTAATATAAAAAACTGTTGACCTTTATTGGGAAAAAGGAGGAGTAAAAGAGGGGATGGAAAAATTAAGCATGACCCTCTAGGAAGAAGTCTTAATTACGTTCCCGATTGTGAGTTACGTTCCCCCTGGTCTAGGAACAGTATGGCTTCGAAACTTGGTTGCCACGGGTCATCAATATCATACGTCACCGATACTGAAAGATTTAATACAAATTTTAAGTGTGTTTGATTTTCAAAAATATACAGTCTTTAGGTTTTTCGTTAAGTAAACAGCGATTGGTGTTAGCGGCAAAGAAACTTTGGGTTCGCTAAGTAATTTATTATTTAACAAACTACAGAAAAATATTATTATAGAAAGCCTTTGTTGGAGTGAATGTAAAACATCTCTTACCACGAATAGTTTTATTTATTTTTTATCTGTTGCCATTAAAGACCTTGTAAATCTTTTGTCGCTCTTCTTAATCAGCCTTCTCCATCTCTGCCTATCTTAGGCTATTTCTTTTCAGTTATTTACATGCAGCTCTATTGCATATTTGTTGATTCGATCTATCCGCCTGGCTTTTGGCTTCCACTGGTCTTTTGCCAAGTATTGAGGCATTTATTGTTGTTTAGAGGCTTCCAGGTGGATTGCTCCGAGCTACATGCCCCGCCCACTGATTGACCAGTTTCTGTAAGTAGTTCTTTATTGGCCCTTCTCCTCCATGAGTTATCGTGCGGTTATCTTTCAAATCTTTCAATACTCCTTTCTAGGGTGCTGGTCAGTGTCCAGGTCCCGCAGCCATATATCAGAATTGTATCATAGCATTGTACAACCTTAATTTGAGATTATTCGGTATTTTAATTCCTTTAAAAGATAGAAGAAAGCTCTGTTTGCGCTTGTTATACTCTGACCTATTTCCGGCCGTTGATCATTCTTTGAGGTTATTGTGAAGCAGAGGTATTTGAATTTTTCTACTCTCGAGAATGATTTCCCTTCTCTTATCAAGGTGAAATTTTTGTCTTATTATTGTATATTTTGTTTTATCTGCATTTACTTGTAGGCCGAATTGATCTGCTTCTATTATCAGATGATTAATGAGTTTTTGTATTATATTATATTATATAGTGAAACTCAAAAGTGAGAAATTTTAAATTCAAAATCGAAATCTGAAAAATTTGAGCCAGGACTTGAAGGGAGATGTCTCCGAAATAGAAGGATCAAGTGGAGGTCAGGAGTTGGGGAGATCGATCAACTGTTGGGAGATGGCGCCACTGCGCATGCTTTCCCGTCAGTCGGCTAAAGCCTCGCTTCGGGCCAACTGTGCCTGCCTCAGCACATCCCATCTACCACTTTCTAGTCCCTCGTAAGTTCATCTTCCATATCTTTAGTTTAGAAAAAAAATATTTCTACAACTTATAACTTGGGAAAAAATACTATAATTATAAATTAAAACTTTCCAATGCTAAATTTAAATGAAACATTGAAATGTACAGTATTATCATTTTTTCCAAATAAGTGTTTAGAATCACTCCAATGGTTATTATTTTTCATGATTTGTTAACTAAAAGTTTATGGATGCGTACTTGTTTTCCGAATGTGTAGTGAGAAAAAAAAGTTAATTCGTACTACCCGTAGCCTTGACTGAGGAACTTAATTATCCTTCCTTAAGTTTCGGTCCGTTGATTTATAGAGATTATGTTCTCTCGTCAACAAGCCATGAATATAAAAAACTTCCTTGGTGTGAATTTTTGTACTGGACCAACGACACCCTGTTCCGGGTTTTATTTTAAGATCTTGGGTCCCGGTAGTTGACATGTATCTTAAGCTATGCAAGATCAGATTTATACAGCAATAAAGTTAATGTTTTATTTTTACTTACTATTTTTTTTTTTTTTATTAAATATACTTTTGAGTTTTCGATAGGTTCTGAAACGTATTTTCAGTATAAGTCAATATGGAGGAGAATTTCGTAGAGCTATAAATTATTATTACTTTTTTAATATATATATAATAAGCACAGAAAATTATCCATTATATGATAAATAAATCTCACATTATCACAACTTGACGTGTAACCATATCAAACATATAGATTTTTTTTGTGAACAAATTTTTTGGGAATGTGGTTCTTGTGATGGTTGCGAAATTCCAGAATTTATTATTTATCAATTTGTCTCTAGAGCTTTCAAATATTTCGAGGAGCTCACGAAGACTTGTGATAGGCGACGTTGTTGACCACAAAGGAATCGGTTGTGATTATGAAAACCTTATCATCTCGAAACTACAAGACAATCTGTCACTGTGGTAAATAGTTCATTATAGTTTTAATCGAGCGATATTCGTACAGTGGACATGTCTCGTCTCAAAATACACTTCAAAACACAAGCAACCATATTTATAATTATCAAATTGTTCTTAATTGAAGATCAATAAAAACTTTCTTTATGATATGTAACAACTTAGATTTTTTTCTGTTTCAATAAATGAAATTATCTTGTTGTACGCAGTAGCAAATGCAGGATTTAATTTTGGAGAGGTCTAACTATTTTTTTTCCCCCCTTTATTATACTAATTTTACATGAGCAATAATTTTTCTATACTCGTGCTTGCATTTGACAGCTGAAGTAGATGTGTCATAATTTAAAAATATAATATATTGTGATCAACTCACTCATGAAAACAAACATATCCCAAAGAATATAATTATATTTTCCTATTTTGGGGGGGGGGGGCTTTAGCCCAAAAGATCCCCTGAATTCGCTAGTGGTTGAAGGGACACGAGGGTCTGATCAAACCAACCTCTTCGCATATCTGCAAAGCATTCTTGCTTTACTATTTATTTTATTGTTTAGTAATTATTTCTGTTAATAATACATGTTTACCTTTTTGCCTATGTCTATTAGTTAAAATAAATAAAAACATAATAAAGTAAACAGTGGACAGTCCAACCTTAATTTTTATTGTAAAATGTATAATATTGGAAATATAAAATATAACTTATAGTGTAAATATCTGAGTGAGAAAAAAAAAGGGTGTGATTATAATTAATAGAAATTACGTTTATTTAGTTATTTCATATGTCACATATTCCCACCAACTTTTCATTTTGTAACCTGAAAAAAAATTCCTCCATAGTAACTTAATGTGCTACATATTTACTTTAATGTTACTGTTTGTTTCAATAATCTTATTGTAAAATATTTTTTTTTATATAAATTATTTAATGGCATAGAAAAAAAGTAATAATGAAAACTTTCCTTTTCTAACGTCTCCTACATAATGTTCCACTTATTCTAAACCTATGGAAAAAAATACTTTCCGTTTGTCAAAAAATATTATCCGTCACACTTTTTTGGATTGCTACGTACAAAATATTCAGTATTGGTCTAAAACTGGAATTATATTAAAATAAAAAAAGATATTTCTAGCTTTTTATTTTTTAAACCAAAATCTTTCCATCATCAAGTAGTTAGTCTATGTACAGCTGAAGGATTGTGATAGAAAATTTTAGGGTGTAGGAGACGAATAGAACATTGTCCAAGATCAATGGAAGTAGCGTAAATATAGAATAGACTCTCTCCTAAGCGAGAATGACGTCAGTTATGGGAAATTGCAGGATAACGGAAGTTACCAATTAATTGAAAAACATATTTTGTAATAATTAGTACTTATTGCTTAGTAATTAGGGAATAAGGGTGCGATATACATCGATGCCAGGAAAAAAATAAGTAGTTTAATTAAGTATTAAAAAAAATTGTTGGGTACTTTGTTTATAGAATGTATCGAATAAAAAAAGAGAACATTTTTTTTATTTTATATCCACAAAAAACTAATAAATAAAACTAAAATTGATAATCTATTGTTATATCATATTTATATCTGTATTACTTAGAGTCTAAAGAACAATACTAAGTTGTACTCACCTCTTCATGGATTACCTTCCCCATGACCTAATCACATCCCAGATCCTAAAACTGCTTCCTAAAAAAGCTATAATAATAATAATAATATTCCTCTCCTATATATATAATGCTGTACTCCGAACCATATATTTTCCTGACTCTTGGAAACTATCTATTGTCAAAATGATACCTAAACCCATAAAGCCGCCAGAACAGCCATCCTCTTACCGTCCTATCTCTCTTTTACTTATTATGGGCAAACTCCTGGGAAAACTCATCTTAAACCGCCAGTATCCCATCCTAGGTTCTAAGCACATTATTGCAGATCACCAATTTGGATTCCGCATATCCCACTCAACTATTCAGCAATGCCATCGTGTGGTTGATGTAGTCTCTTCTACATTGGAGTGCGGAATGTACTGCACGGGAGTTTTTTTCGACGTTGAACAGGTGTTTGATAGAGTCTGGCATCCGGGATTGATGTACAAACTCCGTAAATTCCTACCACCAGCATACTTCCTCATTATCCGTTCCTACCTTACTGACAGATACTTCAAAGTAAATCATAACAATGTTTATTCATCGCTTTTTACTCAATTTGCCGGTTTTGCTCAAGGTAGTATCCTAGGTCCCATCCTTTACACAGTTTATACAGCTGACATCCCAACCCAATCCAACACTGTCATCACCACCTATGCCGATGACACGTGTATTCTATCAGTTAATAACGATCCATCTATAGCATCCCAAACTCTTCAATCATACATCACAAGTCTTGAAAACTGGAGGATTAAAATAAATTTCATCAAATTACCTTTACTCTTCGTCGTAAACCTATGACTTCCTGTCCTACAGTATCCTTCAACCATAGCCCACTTATCCCTGTTGAAGAAATCCGATACCTAGGACTCCATCTGGACACACGACTCACTTAGAACCCTCATACCAGACTGAAACGACTAGAAACCGCCCGACGTTTTCGACTACTGCAGCACTTACTAGGCAAACGCTCTAAACTTCCAACAATTACAAAAGACTCATATATATATATATATTACTATAATAAGACCTATTTGGGGCTCCACTAAACCATCGAATTCCTCTCGTATCCTTACAATCCAAAATCCTTCATATAATCCTCAATGCTCCATACTTTGTCACAAATAAAATCATCCATAACGACCTTAATGCACCATATTTTTCCGATTTAGCTCAATCCAGATACATATCGTTCCATAATAAACTTCTAAACCATCCGAACCCTCTTCTTTCCAATCTTGCTTCCTCTTCTATTCCTGATAACTCTCCGAGGCGTCTGAAAAGAAGATGGCCTCGGGACCTTCTAATATAGAAATATAATTGGAGTCTTACCAATGGGTAGTTTTTCATTTTGCACATGTCATGTTACTTTTTTCCTATTTACTTGTTGTATTTATCATTTAATACAGTTGTAAATTTCGATAATAAAAAAAAAGTTGAACTAATCAACTCTTTGCATAAAAAGTCTCAGGTTGCAGTGTGGTTTAGAAAAGCAAAATTAGGGTTGTAAGGAATTACGTGGGTCTGATCACTATTTTTATTCTACCTAGGGTTTTTACTCTGCCTCTCATCGATAAGTAATTGACTTACTCTGTTCTTTATTTATTTTTTATCATATTTTAAAAATTTAACATTGTTACATGCTTAGTCATTTTCCAAAGCCGCAGCTGAAATTTCGGTTTATGAATGGTCCCTGAGCGAAAAAAAGTTTTTGGTCTTGATCGGCCAGTAAGTATTATTATTATATTCAACTTCTTATCAAGTTGAATTCTTTTCTGGTACTGTAGATACGAAGGTCGATTTTTTTTTCATTATAATAAAAGGTGTTAACGAAATCCTGATTCGTAACACTTCGAAAAATACGATGATCCTAAGAAGTTAAATAAAATAAATTACCGAGTTTAGAATATAGAAACATAAATACAGCCTGGAATATAGCAACTTCCAGTTTATTTAAAATCATAATAAAGAAAAAAATATATTTTTCTGGAAAATTACAACAATCAGGACTTTATTGTAGCAATTGTGAGACTAAAGGGGGAAAACCTGCACGTTACCGGGCAATATCTTCTTTAGCTAACGGTTCATATTCAACATTATAAAAGAATGCCAACCTCCTTCAGCATTTTAAAAGTTTAAATACTCCCCTAACGGTATCGGCTCGAAATTACTTCTCTTTTAAAACCCCTGTTTCAAAGTAATTAGTTTCTTCCTAGAGTCTCATATCTAGCAAATGCCCTGGTTGTCGCAAACATTACTGCTATTGAGCAAATCATGGCAAAAATGAATTGTAGCTTAAAATTCGAACTGTGCATAAAATGGATCATCTCAAGTTGTGGAATGTAAAAGACGCCTCAAGGACGACAGCCTCTTGTTTTTTACTTCCTTTTTTTATATATACCAACGTAGATTTCAAACATTCCATTCAGTGTTAACTCTTTCACATCAAATAGCATTTGTTTCTTCTTCTCTCTTCTCCTTCCTCCGCATGTGCTTTTCAGCGATGAACCTCCAGCCGTTTTAACCATACATCTCGATCTCTCGCCGATTCCTCTAACTGAGCTAAGGTTTTTCCCCTTTCCTAATAAATAGATATGTTCTGGGTATCTCCTTCTAGACTAGGATCGTGGTCTTCTGCCAGTTGGCCTCTATTTCATACACTTCTTCGGTCTTCTCCCATTCTAGAGACTTCTCTTAGATATCAGGAGTTCTTCTCTTATTCCCTCATTTATTATTCTATCTCTCCTGGTTATTCTATTCTCAAAAATTTCATTTCTGCAACCATAATCCTACTTAAATTCTTGTCTTGCGTGATTCAATTTCGCTGCCATATAACAATTTAGGAACATAAATTGCTTCGTAGATGTGGAATTTGATATTTTTTCCTTCCACTCTCGTTCCAACAATCGTGTTGAGAATTTGATAATATATATTTTTATTCTGTTGGACACTTCTTGGTCTATTTTTCCAGATTTCTTAAATCTGCCAATAAATTTTCTGTCATGACCCTTATATTATTTTATATTAGTTTGTTGTTTTTATCAATGTTGACGAAGAACGTTCTTCTTTGAACGGATTAAATGAACAAACATGCTGAAAAGCTAATTACAGAAGGGTCCTATACAACTTGTCGAATATTCATATAAGAAAGCAAAATACTCCAGCAGGTTATAACCTGTTTATTCCAAGACAGTATATGGTTGAATTGATTTGAAAATAGCATGATTGAACATTGGGCATTGGCCGAATTGATACTTGTAAACTTTGTGGTATCGGACAGCCTACAAATCACGTTGACGAATACTGAACCGACAGGAAGACGCCTCGGAGGGGTTGACCTTGATATAGGTGGGAGGATCAAGTCCAA